GTTGAAAGCATCTGTAATAAGATTATTGAAAAAAGAAGAGTTATGATTAGAGCAACATTTGCTGGGAGCGGTAAAAGTTTTATAGGCAAGTATATGGAAAATTTAGGATACAATACACTTTTTGTAGTGCCTCAAAATATGTTAAAACAAGAGATTGAATGCGAAGCGGTGACAGTAAATACATTCTTTAGCATTCCAGTTGATAAAGGGGATGACCTACCAAAGTTTGATTATTCAGATTTTGATTGTATAGTGTTTGATGAGATTTATATGTCCAGTCCTTACATATTGAACAAAATAAGGGTGTTTGCAAATAACAATCCTGACATCGTAATTATAGGTGCCGGTGATGTCAAGCAACTGCCACCGATTGAACCTTTCACTAATACTCAAAATGCAGGCGAATACATTGACAAATGTATTGACATTATTTTTAAATATAATATATTTTTAAAGATATGTAAGCGAGTAGGTGGTAAGGATACAGAAGAAGGAGAAAGAAACAGAAAGAAACTGAATGAAATCTATGATGACTTTTGGATTAAAAAGATGGCAGTTGAAGAATGGATAGTTAAGCATTTCAAATTTACTAAAGATGTTATGAATAGTGAAAACAACATAGCATATACAAATATTAGATGTGAGGCAGTATCCAATGAGATTAGAAAAAGATTAGGTAAAACATGCAAATATGAAATTGGAGAAATCTTAATATGCAGACTTTACAAAAAGGACAAGGAAGGAAAACTGAATGTTAATATTAGGTGGAAGGTTGTTAATAACGAAGGATACAAGATAACAATACAAGATATTAAGGATGCAGAGAACATTAGAACACTTGACATTGATATTGTAGATAAGCATTTTAGATATGCCTACTGTGCTACCACTCATAGCAGACAGGGGACATCAATCAGTGATAATATGACCATTCACGAATGGAACAAAGATTATTTAGTTTGTAGGGAATGGTTGTGGACGAGTATCACACGAGCGAGGGATTTTAACAATGTCTATTTTTACAAGAACAAAGAGGGAGATGAAGATATGTTTAAGAGTTTGGTAATCAACTATTTTAAAAACAAAGTTGAAGGATATAAACAGCAAGATAGAGTAGCAAAAAGAGAAATAGACGAAGATCAATACATTGACGAAAACTGGTGCTTAAAATACTTCAAATCCTGTTGCCAAAACTGCGGAATTAAATTTAATCTAGATACAAGAGGAGGAAGAATAAGTTCTAACTTCACTGCTCAACGTTGTGATAATGAGTTATGCCACACAGTTGAAAACTGCACCGCCTTTTGTGTCTATTGCAATTGCAGCGCGTCATGAATAATTTTGAAAATGAGTTTATCAAAATTATTTTATTAACTTAATTAATGAGTTCAACACAAGAAATTATCAAGAGTGCATATTATGATAGAAGCGGTTATGGTTCAAAACAAACAACCCTCAAGGATGCTAAGCAAAAAGATAGTAGTATTACAATTAACGATATCAATGAATTCTTTAGTAAGAATGTAGAAGAAAAAAGAAAGATGAGAGGTGAAAATAGTTTTATTGCTCCGCATAGTTTCTGGGAATTTCAAGTTGATATGTTTTTCATTTCTAAAAATGATTTGGAAAATCAATCATTTAAAATTGGTATGATATGCATTGATATATTTAGCAAATATATGCATATCGTGCCAATTAAATCCAAGACACCGCCAGACATTTTAGCAGGAATGATGGAGAATATCAATAAGATGGGTGGCAAACCGAAATTAATTTATACCGACGAGGAAGGCAGTTTTTTTAATCAATCAGTATTAGATTATTTGAAGGAGGATAAAATTGAATTACATAGAACTAGAGGTCATCCAGCATTTGCGGAGCGTGGAATTCAGACTTTTAAAGATCAACTCTTTAAACGAGTTGAAGCGGACAAGAAAAATGGAAAGCATAATATCCAATGGACGGATTATATTTTTGAAATATTATTAACTTACAATAATAAGATGGTGCATTCTGCCACCCGCTTTGTTCCAGCACAGGCAAGATTAAAAAAGAATGAATTTGAGGTAAAAATGAATATTACAATGCAAGCAAGAAATACTAGAAAATACCCTGAGTTGTCAGTGGGTAGTAATGTAAAAATAATGAGGAAGAAAGGCATAAGCGAAAAGGCACATACCAGTCATTGGTTAAAAGAAGTATTTAAAGTAAAATCAATTGATAGTAAATTAGGGCAATCTTACTTTCATTTGGAAGGAAAAACTAGTCCTTATTTGAGACACGAATTATTGAAAGTTTAATATTAAACGAAATACAGTTAAAGAAAAAACGCCTTATAATATTAGTGAAATGTTGTTTAACTATAACAAGTGCGAATGCTGTAAATGCAAAATGAATGATTTGAGTTTAACCTTGCATCATATACTACCAGCAAATGTATGTAATAAAATAAGTGAATATGATGTATACTGCAATCAATGCCGTATAACAAGAGACCTTGAAAAGTTTTTTGTTGAAGAACATAAGGATAAGGGATATACAAAGTTTCAATTACAATTAAAATTCTTTATGCGACACCAAGCAAGATTTCCTATACACTTTTACCAGAAGATTTCCAGAAAGTCATATGAAAATGAAATTGATGAATTCTTTAGTAATATAGATTTAATTAGGAGGTTTGGAGGAATAAACGCAATTAAACCATACAAAGCATTTGTCAAAAAATACCGTTATTTGTTTGAATGGATTGACTGGCATTTATTAGACAAAGATAAAATAAACGAAGTCTTGAACGAATTTAGAGCAACTAAATATAGTATATGGTATTACTACAACACTAAATATAAAGTATGTCTATTGTTGTATTTATTCTTTTGGGAATATATTTATTCAATAATAGGAAAAGACAATATCAAATATATATACATTGGTGATATAGATAAATATGTAGATTACATATTTGAAGACATATTGCCTGACCATTATTTTAATCCATAAACCTTACAATAAAAACATTGTAAGATTTATGATTTCAAAATGACTTGAAGAAATAATAACTTAATATATTATAGTAAAATGAGTGATACAGTCGGTATCAATGCTAAAAATATATTGAAAAACAAGTTTATGAGTTATAAATGTAAAGACTGTGAAATGCTCAAATTACCAATTGAACGGGGTTTTGCAAATGGCGTTTGTAATAATATTTGTCAATACATGATATGCAATAATTGCAATAGAATTATAAAACAAATTGATGATATGAATAACAAAGATATTGATATTATAAATAATGAAACTATTGATGATGATTTAGAAATATTTGTATTTATTGAAATGAATAATTTCTTAACTATAGAAGGATTTGATAATTTATTAGAATGTAACGACGAAGGATATAATAATGATTTTATTTTTAAGTATTATAGTATTGTAAAACAATTATACAATATGTCTTTTAATATTAAACGTTCAAAATACGTTGTATTGTTTGATTTTTTAAATGAGTTTTTAAATAATGAGTATAAAACTCACGAACTTAGATATACAATAAAACGTGCGATTGGAATAATGGGAATGTTTAGAAAACAAATAAAAATAATTTTTATAATGAAACAACATGTGACAAAATAATAGAAAGAATTAAATTAATAATTTAGTTTTAGGCGAAATAGTCCTAAAGAAAAAACACCTTATATTAATAGTGAAGAAATGAACGGTATTGAAATCAATAAGTATATTAATAAGAAATGCTATGACTGCTGCCACTTTAAAAAAGAAAATATGGAAATGTATAAATTAAATTTACCTAATGGAATAATAAATAATATTATTGATTATGCTTTGGGTGAAGAAGATTTATGTGAAAATTGTAAAACCTGGAGAGATAACCAAGCTATAATCAAATGTTTGTTGAGATTAAAAGGAAGACATAATAGAAATGTAGAAGATGACATTTTGATATTTTTAACTGTAAATAAATTACCACCTTACGTTTATGTTAAACAGTTTCTTAAAATCAGTAAGAAAAATATGAAATGATTTATGATATATTAAGGATGTTGTGTCATAGTCAAAAGAAAGGAGATGATATTAAAGAATATATCAAATTTTATATTGAAATTTATAAAAAGTTTAATGTTAAAAATACAGTGAGAGATATTAATATTATTTTTAAAATGATGTATGAAATAAATGAGATTTGTCAATTAAATTATTATCCTGAACTTAAATTATAAATTACACCATAAACCTTACAATTTAATTTTATTGTAAGATTTATGATTTGGATTTATGGGGATTTTGGGATTTGGGATTTTGGGAAAATGTATTTTGGGAATTTGGGATTTTGGAAAAATATATTTTTGAAAATTTAGAAAAATATTTACAAAATTTATGTATCAAATCTTGAGTTGAGGTTCTGTTATGAATTGATGAAAAAATATTATGTGAATTGGTCGGTTGAGGGGATTGTATATTTTGGGATTTTGGAAAAATATATTTTGGGAATTTGGGATTTTGGAAAAATATATTTTTGAAAATTTATAAAAATATTTGCAAAATTTATGTATCAAATCTTGAGTTGAGGTTCTGTTATGAATTGATGAAAAAATATTATGTGAATTGGTCGGTTGAGGGGATTTTATCCAACTGGGGCAAGGTCTTGGGTAGGTGTTAGACCCAAGTCGGCGACGGTTTCCGTGAGGCCTTCCCAAGGCGCGACACCCGGAAAAAGCCGCGGAGTTTGGTCGGGCTCGTTTGAGCCCACGGCTTTGGAACGCTCTTTGCAGCCTTTTGCAGAGCTGGGTGAGTCTTCATGCGAGAGATGCATATTCAGGACATTGCATTGGTTTGGGCCAAATTAGTGTGTGATCAAGGATGAGGGAGTTTCTTGATTCAGGTTTGGGAACTGTATGAATGCTGTTGGAATCTACCGGCAGGACCATTAGGTTTGTTTTGTTTGTGCTTTCTACCTTGCATGACTTCCCCATGTGTTTGAGGACTTGCATTGGCAGTGGCCGGGGCTCCCAGGACATCCAGGACGTTTCGGCAAATTTGCCTTCCCAAAAGAACTCTTCGATGAGAGGCCCCGTATCTTAGCAGGCAAGAAAAGGGATAGCTTGGGAAGCATAGGTGTCCTTTTATCGGTTGGCTTGGGGAAGAAATAGGCGAGTTCCACTGGTTTAGATGGGTTTTATGCCGTCCATGTACCAGGGAAACCCATCTATTTGTCCATAAAAGGTCAGCTATGGGAAGGGGGTGCCTTGGCTGTTTTTTACCAATCAGCCGGCCGGAGGCCGGCGGTTCTTACCCTCATGGACGTTTTTTTTTTTTTTGCCGTTTCGTTTGGTTTGGACCAGTGGGAACGAGCCATCGACAGGGCTAAGGGCCTGCTCCGCCCTTTCGGTCCTCGCTCGGTGCTCTTGTTTCTAGCTGTTATCTCTAGTGGGGTCTGAACATGGGCAATGTTGACCCCAGCGGACATGTGGTTCTTCTTGTCCGCTTTTCGTTGCCTCTTTGCCAAGGCCACCCTTTCGACTCTTGCGAAAAGCACGGGAGTGGGTCAGCAGACAAACGGGCCAGCCTTGAGCAAGCTCGAGCCTCCCGGTAGTAGAGCGGATTTTGCTTCAAGCCTTGCTCCCCTGGTGCCCGAGTTCAGGCACTTTGTCTTTGTGCTTTTTTGGAAGACCCTGGCAGTGAAAACCGAAGCCCATGTTGGGGTTCCGACTTCTTTTTCTTTATTGAGACACCGCCATTTTCCAGCTCAGGTTCAATGCCCTGGTCTTCGGCATGGCCTGCGAGCTAGGGGAAGGCTTTTATTTTTATTTTTTCCGGAGCCGACTCGGCCGGGTGGGCGAGGCGTTCAAAGCGAAGTGTGGCGGTGGCCCCCCTTTCTCCAGCATGGGGACAGTCCAAACCAAGAGTAGGTGGGGATATCCCGTTGTGTGATTCTTACCTACATTTTGTCCAGACTGCGCTTGGCAGTTTGTCTCTCTCTCTGCCTAAGGGAGGCAAGGTTTACATGGCCCAACCCCCAGCCATTGGCTGGTCAGGCGTTTCGACTATTTGGTTTATGGCAGCGCAACAAAGGTCCCTTACTTGTATGACTTACAACCATGTTGGTACCCTCACTTGAGTTCCTGGACTTTTGTTGGAAGACCATTTCAGCGGCAAGGGACAACTTGGGACCTTTTTTTGAAGCCGGAAGTGAGTTGGTTTTGGGTCCTCGCTGTTTCATGTTTCAGTTGAGGTGCTTCCGAAGATCGGCGCCCGCGGTTTTTGCCAAAGGAACGGCACCCGCCGTCACGGCCAGGCAGCAGCCTTGCGGAAGCCATCAGAGAGGTGGAGGAGCGAATTCGCGTGTTTTTGTGTTGGGTGGCGTTGGTGGCTTTTGGGGTTTCGGGTTTTGCTTCGCTTCTGAAACCAAGGGAATCTCCTCAGTGAGAAGGACATGATCAGATCGTTGGGGCACCCCCACCCATTCTTAGCGATAAAGCATCGATGGGTGTTGGAATCCCAATCCGCCTATAATGTGGCGGCTGCAGCTCATGCTTGGAGTGTGGGTTGGTGCCATCTGGAGCTTCATTGATGTGCTGCCTCACCAAAACGTGTTTTACCTATTTTACCTAATTGGCTTCGCAGCCAGTCGGAAGGTTCCTTTGTTGATATCCATATCTCAGGCTGGTGAATCGTTATTCATCATTCACCCAGATGGTTGGGGAGAGTTGGGGGTTCAGGCTGTCGCTTGTGAGAAGTTGGAAGCCCCCACAACATGAAGAGAGGTGGTCATGAGAATCATGCCCCTGAAGAGTATCACAGACGATGGCAACCCTATCCAACCGAGAGTTTCCCAGGCTCAGAGCTTTGTGAATCGCTCAAGGGGGCACTTTGGGTCGCCACGTCGGGGCCGGTTTCTGGTGAACCCACAAGATGGGAATCAACCGTGCACAGCGTGTCTTCCCTAACATGAGACTCACCAGGGGTTGACGCAGGGGTCAAAACAGCAGAAGGGGCGTGTTCCACTTGGCTGTGGGTCAAAAGCATGTACCAAAATGGCACCTTGGCAAATGGAACCAAAGACTAAAACCTGCGTTCTGCCCCAGTTGCGAAATTTTGACCCATACCCAAATATGGGACAGTGGCACTCTCCCTTGTTTTGTGGGAAAATGAACGTGTCGCTTCGTTTTTGATGGGCCACACCCAATTTTTTCCGCCAGCTTTCTGGGCTCCCTGGACCCCCGACAACGGCCGCAGGACATGAAGGCGGCGGCCTTGAGCTACGCCAAGAGCAGCCCCGGCTGGTCGGAGCAGGCGACGGAAGCGAAAAGTGAACCGTTCCCGGTCCCCAGGCGGTTTCGCAGGGTTCCGCTTGTTTTTTTTCCCCAACAGCTGCAAGCTTTGGGGTCTCAGCCCAGATAGGCTCCGGGGTGGTCCGGGGCGGCCCTGAGGTAAGGTTCCACGAGGGTTCCACCAGGGTTCCACCACATTTCCACCAGGGTTCCACCAGGTTCTGCGAGGCTGCGGGGTGTAAAAAGAGCACCGCATGCTGTTGGGGATATCACCTGAGCTTATTTTTTTTTTGCGCGCGGTTTCACCAGGCTTCACACAATTTCTGGCTTCTTCCCCTGCTCGAGTAGGCCAAGGCTTTTTTCACGACGTGCTGCGGTTCCCCAAGTCACTTCAAACTTTCCCGACACATCTCTATCCCAAAAGCGCAAATTTGAGTTCCCCGAAAACCGTTTTGCAGGTCAATTGGCGGTTGTGGCGGTTCCCCTGTTTCGAGCCGCCTGTGCTTTCCTTGGGTCCTTGGTGCCCGTGCAGGTGGGGCTCTTTGTGAACATCTTTGGGCACAACAATGTGACGCTTGGGCTGGAGCGATGGGGAGGGGGGGAGGGGAGGGCGCTTAGACACGCAGAGCTTGAACAGGCTTACCACTTGAACGGCTGCCGGACTCCCGGACACAGCTTCTTGCAGATATTTGAAGAGAGAGAGAGAGAGAGAGAGAGAGAGCGGGAGCGAGAGAGAAGAATAGGACTGGGAGCACCGAGAACTGTTGGTTGCGTGTTTTCTGTTTTTTTTGGGGTTGTTTTTTGGGGCTTAGGAGGAAAGAGTTGCCGGTTTCCTGGTTGTGGTCCCCAAGATGTAGCTCATGTTGGACATGGAGCACGGTGTTTGGGTGTCAACTTGAACTGCATCCGTTGAGGTGATGCCGATTCGAAGGGACACAGTGTTTCCTAAACACCCAGAAGGTTGGTTTTGATTAGCTGACTAATCGAGGGCCCTCGATTTTGGAACCACTCAAGCCTAACACATTCATTGTCTACCCTGCCAACTGTGGATGGGATGTTAGGCCAACCTGCAAAACCGTCGAACGATAGGCCCTCTTTCCTGTTTTCTGGCTGCTCGATTTTCGCCTTTGGCTTAAACGGCCCGAAACGCAGGCTGGTCGAAACGATGTTTCCTGAAGTTGGGAACGAGGCCCCCAAGGAGACAGCTGGGATTTCCTGCGGTTCATGCGGTAGGAATAGAAGCAGGAAATAGGCCTGCCTCACAGAGTCCTTCCATGGCAAGCATTTCCTGATGAAGACGACTCCAACATAAAAGACGGAGGACATGGAGAAGAGAGAGCGATCAAGAAAAGACAGCGTCAGAGGAACTCGCTCTTCGTGCACATCATCGACATGGAGGAGCTAGGGCCAAGCTTCGAGGCGAGGACGACGGGTTCTTTTACATGTTTCCATTTGCCCAGCGGATTCCGCTTTTTTTTCTCCCCGTTTTTTTTTTTTTTTTGGGGGGGGGGGGAAGGGTTCCCCTTTAAGCTCAACCAACTAAAAAGGGATGCCTTTCTGTTCCCGTGGTCACTGGGCATCTGAGTTTTAGGTTTAGCCTGAACATGGAACATAATCAGAACATATAATATTCTGCTGCATAGCCCAGATGTCGGCCAAGGAATGAGTTTCAATGAGCTTTAAGTAAACTATGGGAGTGGTGGATTCCTTGAAGGGTTCGATTCGCGCTGCTTTGTTTTTGTAAAGGCGAACCCCCAAACATTCCATGTATGCAATATTTGCCACATTGACCCTCCAAACGGGTCAAATGTTGGCATATATTACATGGTTTGTGTGGGAAAGGCCTGGGGACAGTGGAAACGTGTTCGGTGAGATTCGTTGAAGCACTGTGCAGCCTGGGCAGACCGTTTTTGGAGGCGGCGGCACCTTGGCGTTTGGTTTCAACCATTGGCGCTCGCATCCCAAATTCCTTAGCTTTTTAGCCTTTTAGTGTCTAGTGGGGGTTTCCATTTGCTTCTAACGGATCAGAAAACGGGACCAGTTTTGAGGGACCCTCAAGGGCTGAGTGGCCGAGAGCCCAAGCTGCGGTTGCTTTGCCCGGCTTGAAGCCTCGTGATCCACGCGCTCCTGCGGGTTCCGGAACCGGTGTTTGGGAAGACGACTTGGGTCCGCCTTCTTTTTGTGGCGCCTCGTTTTTTTTGGGTGGTTTTGTTGGGAGGCCAAAGGGAAAGCAGGTTTTGCCCATGGCTTGTCCACCGGAATCACACGTTGCGCCTTGTTTGAACCCTGGTGAGGCCCAGGGCTACAAGAACTGCCCGCTGGACGCGGTGCTCAAGGTCTTGAAGGAGGAGCGGAGGTCCTGGGGTCACCTGGGGGATTAGGCGGCGAAGCAGGGGAGGACCCACCAACATTAGCTACATTTTGGATTTGTATATGGGTATGGGTCAAAATAAGGCCACCAGGCGACCGCAGGTTTGGTTCTTGTTTCCACTTGCCTAAACAACCCATTTTAAGTGCCTGTTTTTAACAAACAGCCATATCACCGTCAACATCATTAGGTGATCATGGAAAAGATTGGACTCACTCTCATATGTTATAGTGAATATGTATTCAGCATGTATTTGCATATGTTTATGTATATACATAATGTTATTTTCACTGGCATCCACGGATGCCACAACTTCTATGGTGAATCACTCCAGAAGCAAGCACCTGCTCAAAGGAGCAAGTCTTCCTTCTGGGTTCTTTCAGGTTTTCCCAGCGTGGTGGGTGCCCGGGTTTGCTCAGGGTTGTGTGTTTTCAGGGTCTTCCCTGCGTTGTCCCACATTTTCCCGGGTGTTTGCAGGGTTTTCCCAGGCTGGCGTTTTTTTTTTTTTTCCCCAGCACTTGGCGGTTTTCCCCGTGTGTTCCCAGTTTTTTCCAGGGGCTTTCCTGGTTCCAGTGTGTTCCCAGTTGTTTCCCAGAGCTTTCCCGGTTTTCCCAGAGTGTTACCAGCTTTTCCCAGTGTTGTCCCGGTTTTCTGAGGGTATCCCAGTAATTTCCCAGGGCTGTCCTTTTTTTTCTTCTTCTTCTGAAGGTGTTCCCAGTTTTTTCTCATATTTTTCCCGGCGTTCCCAGTGTTTTCACAGTTCCTAGGTGGTTTCATTTTTTCCAGGGCTTTATCATGCGAAGTGCCCCATTTCTTGCTGCAGTGACCATTGGATTTTTGGAGAAGTGCCTTGATGCATATGTTTGAACACATGAAAGCAACATGCAGTTCTTGAGGGGAACAGGTTGGAACGCCTAGAAGAGGCCAAGCATCCCGGAACGAAGGGACGCCTATGGGACCTATGGGAATCCCTTCACTCTAGGGGTTGATTCCCCATTCTTTTCGGCCATCGTTCTTTTCAAAAACTAGCCATTTGCCAAGGTTTTTGGTGGTTTTCTAGAAAGAAGGATCCCTGGAAAGAATGGGGAAGTTACCCCTAGATTCACTAGTGGCCGCGACCAACTTCCAACCAGAGATGAACTCTGAATCTATCGGACATCCAGTTTGCAGAAGTCACGAAGAGGAATCCCAACCGACCCTGGCGAAAGATTACCCCAGCTTTGGCCATGGAGTTTCGGCCTCGAGCGCGAATAGTCTGCTGTCTGGCGTGCCTGCGCACCGAGGAGGTGGAAGAGCACTTCCAGCCGCAGTTGTTGCAGGTGCTGGACACTGCAGCATTTGAGAGGCCGGGAAGCTGTGAAGCCACTCCTGTGGGCAACTTCATTGCCAGAGCCAAGGCGGATTTCCTCTTTTTTTTTTAAAAAAAATAGAAAAACACTTTTTGCCTTGCTGGTTTTCATGATTTTCTCATTCGACCACAAACACGTCTCACTTTTTGCGGGAGGGGGGGGTGTGGGGGGCTAAGTTTGGTGAAGTTGTTCTCACAGGATCCAAGGAGCGAAAAAGGGTGATTTCTTTCATGGTTTCGGATTCCAACCCAAAAGCTAGGCTATGGCCAGCCACGTTCAAAGCGAGGCACTCCGCCGCAGATATGGCAGTGTTCGAGTTGACGGCATAGGGGGTTCTAAGTGAACGATGCTAATTAAACGTTCCTTTGAAAGGGGGGGGGTTCCCCTTAAAAAGGCGATGACAAGGGTGGAGATGACCCCCAGTGTAATTGTGCGCATCCGTGCTTGAGGGCCTAAACAGGTTCCAATTAAGCAGGTTCCAGCTTCATGTGTGTAGCATCCCCCAAGGACCTCGCTCCCTTCCACATCCCCAAGACTGTTCCCGAAATGGAACGGCAAAAAGGGAAGGACCGGCTCCTGTTATTTGGTGGTTTCACTTTGAAGCCTTTCCCATGCGTTAGAACCCATGGGTCGCCCATTGAACCGCGACGTGGCGCGAGGGGAGTGAGCTTGAAGGATATGGCCGGGGGCTTCCGGGGCGCAGGCGGGGTCCGGTTTTAGGGCCAGGTTTGGGCGTGTGGGTCCCAACTCCGAGGTTCGGGAAGGGGGGAAGGGGGGGAGGTGGGGTGGTTTGGGGTGGGGCGGTTTGGGGGTGGGAAAGCTTTGAGGAAAGACTAGGGCTCTCAACAAGCCACCCCCCCCTACCTACCCCCTTTAGGGATTCCAGAACAACGGGTCAAGGTCCCAAAAGCTCGACCTTCGTTTGGGCCTGAAATTTCATGGGTCCAAAAGGACTTTGGTGGGATACATGTCCACCAACCACTTGTGAGCTGGTGCCCTTTTGAGATTCATAGCCATTCCCAGCTCCTTTGGACAAGTGGGTGTCTATTTGATCGTCAGCCACTTACCCAACACCATGGACTCCCACCCCCAGGGTAAGGGTCGTCGGGAAGCAGAGATCGACCGCTCGTGGGGATGAACATGTGTCACAGGCTGTGGGTGTGTATATGTCAATTTTTTGAGGGACATACAAGCTGCATCAAAGATGCCTAAATAGCTATGAAGTTGTATAGCACGTCAAGCATGGCTGGTGGACATAATTCACCATCTAGCAATTGGGAGGCAAGGGCCATTCCAGGCTTTCTGACATCCACACTAGAGGGTTGCTCAAGGGGGGGATGCAGCTTCGTTTGTTGGGCGCTCTTTTTTGCAGGGTCCCATTTGTTGGACCACTCCTTTGGGCAACTTTCATTTGTAGGCGTGAAAGGGGACCCTAAAAACCGGCAAGGATTTCCCTTTGGTTCGAAAAGTGCAGGGAGCCTCACTTCTTTCTTTCAGCTTGTTGGCGGAAAGGGTGAAGAGCACAGCGGGTGAAGGAATCCAGCCATTAATACGAGGTCAAGCCTGCGGGACGGGTTTGGCTGAAGGTAACACTCAGATCGGGGAGTGAAGAAACACCTTCCCAGTCATCAAGTTTTTGGAGGACCTTGTCCTACTGTCCGGTCTTGGGTGCCGCCGAGTCCGACCGACCGACCGGAAAGATCGGAAAAAAGGTTCCTCGTTGGTACAACCTTTAACCTTGGTCTTCCAAGGACCGGCAAAAAAACAGGGTCCTTCTTGATTTTGATCTAGGCTCCCTCAGCTTTTCCGGGGTCATGGAAAATCAAGGTTAACCTTGTAACCTTACGGATACTGTCGATGCTCTCAGTTTTCCAGCTCTAAGACTGACCAAGATCTCGTCCGTTGCCGTGCTGGTATGTGTCAAAGACATTTTGGACCCCAGGTTGGCAAGCCCCAAAGATTCGCTTCTCGAGTTTCGGGACTAGAGGTGAACAACAAGTTTGCTTTGTTGGCCACCACCCCCCGCCCGCCCCCCAGAAAGTGAGAAAACAACACACACACACACACACAGACAAACCCACCCCACACGTCCAGATGTTCTGAAAATGAACGCGTTTGGTTGGTAGTTGAAGGGGAATGAAGCGGGAACCAACCGTTTTAGGGCACCATGATTTGGAGCAACGCCCAGATGTTTGCATCCAGCTCCCAGCGCATACACCTAGCGCCCGCCGTCAGGGGGCGCCACCAGCCTCAAGGAGGAGCGCGGCTGCTTTGGGTGGGTTTTTTGGTTTACCTTTTGCTCGGCGTTTTCCTTGAAGACGCCCTAACCCAGTTTGCATTTTTTGTTGTTGGAACCGAAGGGAACCCAACTTCTTGGTTTCGTTTTGTGTCTTTTCTGACGGGTTCTTTCCATTTTGCTACCAGCAAAGGAGACCAACAAATAGTTTAGCTGCCGATTAGTTTCGGAGTCACCCTTTACTTATCTCGGACTTGCGCGAGCTCCGACGCGCACAGCTAGGCAGTGCGGCGCCAACGTCGTGTAGGCGCAGTGGCCTAAATGGGACGAGCCAAATCGTGAACCCGCCGAATCCCCCGGCCATTGGTGGCACGGAGAACACGCGAGATCGCGGCATCCCTAAGTTCACCCGAAATCCTGAGGATGATACCGTCAGTCGGGATATAAATGTGGCTGTGGGCACGACACAGCTGCCCGGCATGGTAGTGGCCAAGGCCAAAGGCTGTACAAAAGTGCCGGATGGCGGATTTGACATGCCCGACACAGGTGGCAATGGACGGCCGGGCAAAGAAACATGCAGGATCAAAAATGTCATCACTGTTCTGCTTGGGTAGGCGCAATCGCGAGGTGCAGGCCAAAAGAAGGGTAAGCTCAATGTAGCTGATAGGCATAAAGCTCAGCTCAGCATCGTCAAGAGCATCAATCTGTTCGGCAACAAACCTGACCAATGCAATGGGGTAAGCCGGAGTGCGAAGTGCATGAAGCGGCCCCCAATTGATCGGAGCAGCCTCAACCAGACTTGTGAATCCGATAGCCAATCCCCAATCGGTATCCGCAGGAGGAGGGGCAGCAGGTTCAGGTGTTTCAAGTCCAGCTTGAAGCCTTTCGGAAACTGCACAAAAGAAATTGCGATGTACCCGAAGCTGGTAGGTAACCAGGTCGAAGCGTTGGGATTCGCCGTTCCAAAGTTCCCAAAAAGCAGGGGTCCTGTTGCGATTGCATATGCCGGCTGCTCTGTCAGCGGCATCATTCCAAAGGCAAGCCCACTCCTCAAACTCGCTGGTACACAAACTGAAGTCCAAGTGTGACGGAATCCAATGTATGTGAACCAAGCCAGTGTTGCATTGAAGCAAGAGTTCGGCAAGTAAAGTTTTCAGGTCAAAGAGCCCCAGAGAGCTGTCCAGATGCATCTGTGGCTGTTCCAAAAGCTCAGTAACGAACCTGACAGTTTCCTGCGAGTCGCTCCAAATGTGAGTGGGCTGGTCATAGAAAAAAGCCCAGTGAACCGCGGCAACAATGGCATACAGTTCAGCACGTGCAGCTGTTTGTGTTAAACCAGGAAGTGGTCCGCCAGCGACCGGTCTTGCGGTGCTGGCATTGACTACTGCCCAGCTGGCAGCCGCAAGTGAGGGTCTGGTATTGCGAATACAGCTCCCATCCGTAAACAAATGTTGAGGTCCAGCGCCAGGCTCGGAGAGGAACTCAACGGAGTCTTCAAGAGTTGCAAAGTAAGACTTCAACAATGTTGCATGCGGGGACCTGGCGACCAACAAATGCTGTGTGAAATGCTGTGGCGCTGCGGCGGTGTGGGTTGCTGAGGTGAGCTCAGGCATGCCAGCACGAATATCTGCGAAGCGAGGGCAGCTCAGCCAGTGTGAGGGCTCATCTGGAGTGCCGCAGCTAGGGCAGAGCCCAGTCTGGCGGCTGTCAAATTTAGCCTGTTGCGAAGGAGCCAAGAATGAGCCGTCGTGTAGGCTCATAGTGATGGCAAGGTGGTGCGGCGTGAGGCGGTCGAAGCCGTGTTGTATGGCTTCGAGGTCAAGTCCCTGTAGCTGTTGAAGGGCCTTGCGGTGTCGCACCTGCCGGGCAACAAACTGTGCCCACGCGTCATGAAGCAGATGCTCGAGAGCAGTGGGATCAAGTCCAAGCAGGTTGTGCCCAACCCCATCGTGATCCTGAACAACAGGCGGAAGAAGCACACTCCATCCGATGAGCTCAAAGAGCTGCTGCATCTTGGAAAAGGGCCCAGTGGTGGTGGCGCGATGTCTTGTGCTGCAAAAGGCGCTCCAGTGATCAAGCAGCTCTGGCGACTTGAGAGCAATACGGCGAAAGTCGAAGACTGAGCGCCGAAGCTGGTAGTAGCCCGGATCGGCAGTGGCAGGGCGCGACAAGGAGAGCCGAAGCAGTGGGTTGGACCCACCGTGCTGGATGTGGAGGGCCCTGGTTGCTTGTGTGCGCAGCTTTTGAAGATGTCGGTCACTGAAGACAGTGCCGCCAGCGCCATGTAGGGCTTTGGCCCAGAAGACGGCGGGCAAGGCATGGAGTTTACGGGCAAGTGGGGCCCGAGAGCGCCGAAGGCGCCTCCAGTAGGGTTCCAGCCCAGCCCAACGTTGTAAGAAGAGCCGGTTGCGTTTCTGCAGGCCGTAGCAGACTGTGCCGCCCAACTCACGAGCGTCCGGAAGGACGGGAAATCGAAGGACCCCGACTTCACGCCTAGTGGCTGCGGTAGTTCCCCAGGTGTAAGTCTTCTGCTCGTCGAGCTGTAGCCCCCAAAGGTGCAGGTATGTCCGGAGCGTGCAGAATGCCCCGGCAACTTGTCTGGCGGCAGTGGCCGTGATGGTGAGGTTGTCAACGAAGCTACGGAGCCTGGCTTCCGGGTTGAAGCGAGCAAGGTAAGCGTGCATGCTCCAGTTGAGGACTGCCATGGCGGCAACACTCAATGGACAGCCTTCCGGAAACCCCGTGTTGGAGGTGTAGGCATCGCTGAGTTGGCCGTGAACAGAGAAGCGCCGCCTGAAAGTTGACAGGAACTTCTTCCAAGGAGAGGTAAGCCTCTGACTGGGAGCGTATTACCAATTTTGCTCGGCACTACTTGCCGACTGGCACTTTTTCTGTAACGCCCATCACTGTCAATCAATGGCGCCGGTCCATCAAACGCTTCCGACAACGCGCCGCGCGTGGCTGCGACGGCTTTGATCGAGGTGATCTACTTGCCATGTCTGACTCCCAGGCCAGCACGCTGCTTTCGCTTCTTCATGCTGTTGAGGAGAACGACGACACTGGTTGGCCTGTGCAACTTCTTGAGGGGTTTGTTCTCTCGCTTGCCAAAGTGGAGGCCCCGCACCTTGCTGTGCACTACCGTCCCATAGTTTTGCTCAGCATCATATACCGCTGCTGGGCCTCTTTACGCTCTCGCCAACTACTTCGTTGGCTGGCCCAACTGGTGCCGGAAGACGCCTACGGGTTCATCCCCGGCAGGGAACCTGCCCAGGTCTGGCTTTTGCTACAGGCTCAAATCGAGGCCGGGAGCAGAATCCTGGAGCCAACGAGGGGCCCAGAGGAGCTGAAGCTGATCCTGCACCTCACTGGGAGAAGTGAAGTGCTTGCGTTGTGTAGCCAGAGCGCCGGCTGCAGGAACCAAGGTCGAGTCAACGGTGATGACGTCGTTGACCTGTTCGGTGACATGGGTGGGAACCCCATCCACTGCCCATGTGTTGGACCCCGCGGGTTGCGGGGTGTCATCAAGTTGAATCTGGATCGGCCCGTCTCCATCCGTGGCAAGGACAGTGAACTCCTGCTCAACCCACAAGGAGTCAATCTGTTCCCGCTGAGGTGGACGCAGATCCTGGAAGATGCCTGCAGAGGTGGTGGCGCGTTTGGCTTTTAGGATGGAGCATCGCTGTTGGATGTGCCATTGCTCAAACTCCCGAAAGCGGAGATGGAAAGCAGCGAAGATGAGATCAGCGAGAGGAGCCGGGGGCGGGTTGCAAGGGAATGGGCCAGTGACTGATATAAAGTCCTGGCGTGCCCACCAGCTCGAGAAGGTAGGACAGAAGCCACGGGCCCTGCGGACAGCTGCCCAGAGCAAGGTACGGTAGAGCTGTGCATCAGTGTGCTGTTGACCTGCATGAATGGCATGACAGTAGGACTGGAGCCGCCGGAGTTGCTTGTACCACTGGAGCACCGAGCGGCCGGGCAAGTCGTAGCAAAGAGCCGCTTCGCCTGGCCTATGAGGACGGCAACGAGGAGGATGGGCCGTCTTGACCATAGGAGAAGTGCGCTGGCCCCGTCCGAGACAAGCAGGCGGTAGAGTAGAAGCCTGCGTGTTGGTGATGTAGTCAGCAGCGGCTTGGTCAAACTGCTGTGAGAAGCTGCGGAAGAAGTGGGTGGTATTGTTGCCAGTAGCAAAGGGGGTGAAGTGCGAGTCATGCGAGGGCAACGTAGTGGTATCAGTCCAGGGAAGCCTGGAAGGAAGTGGCCAGGAAAAGTAGGTGGAAGTAGTGAGCGGAAGCTCAAAGGAGGCAGAGAGGTCGTTGGTGTTGACCTGGCTGCAGTGAGAAGCAAGGGCGGGCGAAAGCCAGATCATGTCGCGTTGCGTGGCCCCTTTGCAAGTGGGGACAATGGGAGTGCTCCAGCGTTGATGGGAGAGCTGTTGTGCATGCTCCCAGCCATAGGTGCGCCAGACGTCGAATTGGTGCAGCTCATGTGGGTCGGCGTTGAAGTCACCGACGATGGCTGCCATGCCGGAGTATCCGACAACCAAGTGTTCGGTCAAGTGTGTCAACATCTGCTCTGTGAGCTCATGTGCGCGTGGCCAGGTAGGCCCACGGGCATAGCCGTAAATTGTGGCAACCAAGATCCTGTGGGGACCCACTTGGTGTGAGGTAAGTTGGACACGGCCGGTTTCCCAGATTTCGAGAGGCCACGAGATGTCAAGAGAATGGCATGGAAAGTCAGAAGCGGTAAGAACGCCGCTCCATGTGCCAGCCCATGTCGAGCTGTGTCGCAAGGCGACAGGGGCGCCGGCCAGTGAACGGACAAGGCGGTTGGAATGGTGAGCATTCCGTGAAAGGATGCCGGAGACAGCGGGCAGAGTGGCATCGCTGAGGTGTGTTTCGGCAACGGCGTGAATGCCGGGGCCGAGCGAGAGCAAGAGAGGCTCTTTGCCTCTAAGGCCACTAGGATTGCTGCAAGAAATGCAGAGGGTGGATGTAGGTCCAGGGTGACTAGCTTCCCCGATGCGTAGAAAACCAGGACCAGGCCACTCGAAGAATTGCTGTGATTGCCACAGATAGCCCCCAACCCAAGATCGCAGTCTGAGGCAGATGCCCCAGCCGCGCTGTGAACAGAGAACCGGGTGAAGGGCTGAGCAGTGGCATCACAAAGTGAGCAGAAGATGAAAATGGCCCAAAAGTGAAAGCGATGAGCCCAAGCGCGGTCAGAGAGACAACCAGGCAGGCCAGGCGACCGCTTCCTGACCTCCGGATGACGGAGTCACTCGTTGGAGCGAGGCCGCTTGCTAAGCATGGCCTCGATGGAGTCAAAGCGTGCGCCCATGTCGGTGGCAAGGTCTTGTCGCAGGCCCTGCATAGATTGCCAAATGCGTTCCTGGGATTGCTGGCTCTTGGCGGAGCCCGGAGAGCTCATGCTGATGGGTTGAAAGAGTGGCCTGTACGGTGGATACAACATTCTCGAGTTGTTGATGCTGGGCACTGACCTGGTTGAACCACTGGTTGAAGTGTTGATTGTGCGACTTGATCTCGGTGATGTCAGTTTCGAGTTTGTGAAGTCTGGATTGAGTGTCCGGGTCATCTGTCATGGCCTGATGCCCAGCGACTTCAGAGCGGAGGGTGGCCTGGACTTCTGCCCTGAGCTCTTTGGCAATCTCGTCAAAGCGAGTCTTGGTGATTGCGGATGGAGTAGGGAGCCCAGGCGGCGCAAATGCAGTGTTTTTGGAGCAGCGACTCCAAGGATCACCACCAGGTTCAAGCCAGGGATCGGAGGAACCACCAGACCGTTGCGAATGTGGTCCTGGGTACGTCTCGAAGCGGTAATGTTGAGCCGGTTGTGTGCTTTGGGTTGGGTCTTAGTCTCAGTGATGAGAACGTCAGCACCAAAACCAGGTAGGACAAATCCAGAGGGGGGTTTGCAAGCCCCGACAGTCCAAGACATGGCATCAGAGTTGCCCCTGCCCGGTTGGAGTGGTTTCGCTTCCCATTGCCAATCCTCAAGCAGTTTGGCGACTGAGGAGCGTTGTGTGCCGTGTGGGATAGGGAAGAGCTGAAAGATGTGGTTCACAGCAATGTCATTGAAGGGGGTGCCCGGTCGAAGGGTCTCATGAGCGGCCTGGAGGTCTTTGGCAAGCACCCGGATGCCGAAGCGTTGTTTCAGCCGCATGAGACTGAGAGATTTGGTGAAGGTGCGGGCAATGTGAAGCACCTGATCGTAGTCTGCTCCCGGAATCCAGACGACTCGGTAAGTGGGGTCAACTCCTTGCCTGGCGTCCAAGCGGGGCTCGATGAAGGCTCCTTTGGGCTGGTGGGTGAGAATGGAGCGAACAGCCGACAGCGGGGCCCGGATGAAGGCCATGAAGGTAGCAGCTTCTGTGGGCTGGGTGCGCTTGCCGTCGAGGGTCATGAAGGCCCTGCCCCAAACTTCCATGATGACCTGATCGAACTCCTCATCAATGGCCGGGTGGGTGAATTTGCATTCACCATGGGCTCCATTGAGACATTGGGAATCCCGGCAAAGCTTGAGAGGAGGAGTCAGCCTGACCAGCTCGCGAATGGGAGCCTCAGCGAAGGTGTCCCACTGATCGAACAGGTCCCGATAGACCTGAATCCGAAGAACCTGAGTGTGTACCACTTCTGGCTGGGGCATGACGTTGGCCGCCTTGCGACTGACTGCAATGTCGCCAAGCTGTAAAATGGCACCACGAAGCAACACAGGCTCACCGGTGCCTTGGTACTGAGCAGGGAAGATCAGAGGGGCAATTTCGGCCCCGACTGGCGCCTCAACTGGCTCATTGACAACCAGGGCAAGAGCCTCAGGGCTGATGCGCTTGCCTGCTTTGATGAAAGGAAGAGCCTGTTGTGCGGTGCATATGGCGACACCACGGGCGTCAGCAGTGACGGCGTGGAAGGGCAGAGGTGGAACTGCGAGCTGTTTGGCATCGACAAAGGAGTCAGCGAAGAGGCTGAGATCAGCAGGGTCAGGCTGAGCCGGTGTGGGTCGTGGACGCCTCTCACCTTTACCTTTGGATTTCTTCTTGTCCGTGGAGATGGCTGCCCCGAATTGGCTCTGCGAGCGGGCTTGCACATGAGCAGAGAGCTCAGACGGCAGGACAAGCCGAAACATGGTAGCTGGGGTGTTGGCCTTTGCTTTCAGCTCAGTCCAAGGCTGGTGCTTGCTGTACCGCGTTGAGGCCGAGGCGACCGATGCCTGACTGGGCCCGTTCATCTGCAAGATTTGCTGGCACGCCATGAGTGGTGAGCAGAGTGGCAAGCAGGGCAGTTGTGTTAGTGGGACCAAGACCGAGTGGACAAGAGACAGGTCCCTGTGCATGCACAAGCTCCTGATGGATCCCCGCGATCTGATGTGGTTGTGGCAAGTCGCAACTGGTGATGAGATGCAGTGCGTGTGCAAGGGCAATGGTGCCACAGGTCCAAGGAAGGTCTTGGCGAAGAGAGTCGGCCAGGAGAAGCCCGCCGAAGGTGGAGCCCAAGAGGCGTGTCAGATCAGAGGCTAGCTGCGTCACCTGACTGATCAGGTTGTGGGACTGACAGTCTCCGGCCAGCGTGATCCAGTGCCCATGGACAATGAAAAGTCCGACAACGAGGCAGGTAGAGTGTGTGTGCTGGGCGCAAATAGCGGCCGAGAGAGATTGGAAGGTGGCAGGTGTGGGCTGGTGGTGTGGAGGCGTGTGCATGGCCTCGTCAAGACCTGGATGAAGGAGACATACAACAGGGTCGGCGGCTGATGGAGCAGTGGTTCCAGCGATCTGTTGCAAGATGTGCCAAAGAAAGTCCTCGGCAAGACCAGGGCCGGGGTTGTTCGTGGGCCCACCATGCGCAAGGCGAAGCTGGGCTTGAACCCCAAGAGCTTGAGGCGAGAACGTGGACACTGTAATGGGGAGCCAGACCCGCGTGTCTGCTCCGATGAGCCCAAGTTGGTGGTGCCAGAGGAAGTTGGCAGAGATGCCAAGGTGGCGCAACGGCTCAAACAGAAAGCTGCCAGCGGCAACAGTAGTGCAGTGCATCACTTCTTCATGGATGATGCAAATGTCGACCGGTTGAGTAGGTGGAAGGATCCGTTGCTTCTTGCGTCGTTGGTGGGTCCAAACGGCTGTGGTGCAATGCTCGTTGTGCAGTTGGGTGAGTTTGGACGTGGACCCCCATTCGGTATGGATGCGCTCTGCTAGCATCACAGAGTCAGCTGTTGCTGTCGCAAAAGTTGTGGCAAACACCTCGGGTCCATCAGAACGATGGACCGTAAGTGAGATGTGGGCAGGTGCCGTCTGTGGTTGCTGTAGTCGCCATTGACAAAGCAGTCGATCCTGTAGAGATTGAATGGCTGCCCTTGGTGAGATGGGCTGTATGGCGTTGGTGGCCTGAGCAAAGTTGGCAAGGAGACTCGCATAGACCCAGGCAGACTGCAGAGGGGAGGCAATGAGCCCCAATAGCGCCAAGTTAGCACGTGGCGGAAGCACGTACTGAATGTCGGATGGAACCCCCAACAGGATAGCGGCCTCTTTGTGGTGCAGAAAGCGAGGCAATCCTGATGGATTGGCCCGCACGAAGAAGCCACGAAGCCCTTTCGAAGCAAGGCTAGCTTCCGAGAATCCTTGAAGCCGGCAGTAGCAAGGACAGGCTTGGAGGGCGTTGCCATAGCTGTGTAGGATGGTGGGAGAGATGTCGTCAAGGGAGAGCTCCCTCTTGTCGTGGCCAAGGGATGGATCAGTGTAGCGGTTGATCTCGACAGAATCGAGGAGCAGCGAGGCTTCCTCATCGGCTGGCCAGGCAGGCCAGTTGCCAATGACGGATCCGATGTTGGTGAAGAGCGGGGAGTGCGGCCAGGAATGGAGGCCCGTGGAATGCCATTGCTTGGGCAACAGCAAGGCCCACCAACGTCGGCGCCTGCATGGCCATTGCGAGCAAAGATCAAGCTCCACCTCCAGTAGATCGAAGTTCATGGCAGATGCGAAGGAGCTGAGAGCCTTGCGAACGTCTGGATGATGCCTTGCGGCGACAGCGCACTCTAAGATGAGTGCTTGGCATTGGAGCATGAAGGCGACATGGAGCCCGCTCCAAAGGGTTCGAGCTCGGGGATCAAGTGTCCCGAGTCTCTTGCCCTGACTGGAGTAGGGTTGGCAAGGAAACCCGAGCATGAATGTGGCGGCTGTGTTGCCGCAAGCCTGATGTATCTGCTGTGCTGCTGCAGGATGGTTCAAATCAAGCTTCAACACACGAGCATGGTTGGCCGCCAGGTGATTGCAGACAACATTGTTGTGGTCGGCGCACAAAACGGTCTGTCCACCCAAATGTGAGGCACCGATGCCCATACCCCCAAAGCCAGCACAAAGTTCAACCACATGAGGGGAAAAGGCAAAAGCGTCACGGTCGATGCGGAATAGCTGGGTGTCGGCTGTGCGTGTCAGGTGCCAGAGAGGCAAAAGAACGTCCACCTGCAGATTGTAAACAGAGTAACGACCTTCCTCAGCCGAGCACGGTGGTGCAACGCAAACAGGCCGACCGTCCGGAACCCTAAAGCCGTGCTGCCAGCCATCATGAACTTCCCCAAGCTGGAAGACCCCTGAAACAGATTGGCCCACCTTGACATCGATGGGACCAAAAAGGCGAGGATCCATGGCAAGGGTGTGCCCGCTTTCTGCTGACCCAACTCAACCGCTGGGAGGCTCGGGCCGAGAGCTTCACCCTTTACTTAAAAATCAATGCTCATTCTTCATTTTGATTCTTTGGATCCAGGGTCCGCTTGACAGTTTCCTCCTTTGGCTGAAGGTACTGAACGTCGGTGAACGACCCCGAAATCGGCATGAGTGTAGGCAGTGTAGGACGTTGCCAGTTTCTCTGGCAACTCCAAGCATCAGGGAGCCACTGGCTCACGGGCAAGCCAGTCAGCTTCCCCTTCATTGGCGGTTTGGATCCTGGATCGGTCTTGGGGAAGTGAGCCGCTGGGAGGCAACTGGATAGTTTCCCTCAAGCTCCAAACCCCCCGATTCGGCTCCAAACCACCGCGCAGTTGGACCTGAGTTCAGAGACCAAGGGTCGCTTTTGGGGATTGGATCTCCTGACCTCCGCATGTGACGGAGAGTGACGCGAGCGTTCGTGTGGATCCTTGCATGGTTTGGATCCTTCACAGCAAAGCGGTTGGCTCTTCCTGAGTTCACGGACCAAAGGTCGCTTTTTTTTGGGGTTGGACCATGTGGCAATGGGAGGGAAGCCGACCCTAAGCCCTAAACCCTAAGCCCCACACCCCAAACTTTTGGGAAAGGCGTGCGCCAGTGGGCCAGGAGCTGGTGGAGCGGGTGCCGGTGCTGCGCGACGCCGGGGCCTTTCGGGAGGCCCGGCGCATCTTCCGGGAGGCGCGGGTTGGGGGGGGGGGTTCGTGGGAGGTGGGAGTGCCCTGCGTGCTGGAGGTGTTTTTTTGGAGGTGGTGCCCTGTTTTGGTTTCCCCAGGCGGTTGGACGCCTTCATATTGCCAAGGGGGAGGGTGGGTTTGTCTGAAGCTAGGATAAGATGGAAGCTTCAAACTGACCGCCAGCCAAAAAGGGAAGCCTCAAAATCGACACACCCGGACCAGTTGGGGAGCCAGAGATCCGGGAGTGCTGGGAGAACTTGTTCCCAGGGAGCGGGGCCAAAGACCAGATAAATGAATTTCCGCCTCTGTCCGGCACAAGCAAACCACGCAAGACATGATGATTTCGTGGCCGATCCCCATTTCACATCAAACGGTACCCACGGTTTTCGGTTTTGTCCCAACAGCAACAAACCGCCCACTTTTTCAGCGCCCATGAGAAGCTGGCTTCCGACGCCCCCACCCCCCGCGGCTTCCCGACTTCCGACTCCATGGTTTGCCTTGTCCACTGTCTGTGGGAGTAATAGGCCTTTCCTGGAAGTGTAGAAACCCTTTCGGAGGGGAGGCTTCTTCCTTTCCTGCGCAAAAAAAGAAAGGGCCACCCCCTGCCTTCCGACCATTCGCCTCCGCCGAGCGGCATCCACCCTCGGGAGCGGCAAGCATTCGGCGAGCCTTCGGCGAGGAGTACGGGGGCCTCAAGGCGCTGAAGGCGGAGCTGGCCTTCGCCGGCTTCGTGGACTCGGAGCGCCTCACCACCACCACGCCCCTCGCCTCGATTCGAGCGCTCGGAAGCCTCGGGGAGGCGCCGGAAGCGGAGGCGCCGGGGAGGCGTTTTTCGGAAAGGGGGGGGGGACCCTGTTGGTTTGCCTGGGAGTTTTGTTTTCTTCTTGTTTCTTTCTTTTTTTTTTCTTCTGGGGGGTAAGTGCGGAGGCAAGCTTAGGGAGGGAGGTGTGAAGGGAACAAAGAATGATATACACGTTTGGAGGCTCAAGAGATGGGATGCGAACAGCTAATGCTTCTTGGTTTGCTATGTTTTCGGGTTTTCAAGTTTTTACCTCGACCTAGTGGGGCATTTTCGGGGAACAGAAAGCTGATGTGCTAAAGAGGATGGGCCCGTTGGCATTCGTTGGGAAGGACACATCGTGCAGAACCAATAACCCTCTTTTCAACAGTCACAGGAGGTTTATGGAACCATCATCTTGAAAACGCCCCCTGCCAGCTTCCAACGACTGTTGGAAGGAGGGTATCCGTTTCTTTCCTCGTGACTCGGCGGCTTTTGGAGCACGGGAACTCCGCCCGCCCAGGAAGCCCTTCAACCTCTTCGCGCGCATCGCAGCGGGCGAGATGCAGCAGCCAGGCGGGGCAACACACCGATCGCAGGCTTCGTCCTTTTGCGTCTTCCCCCAAAAAAGTGTGTTGGATGTTTGCGGGGTCCTTCGAGGGCCGAGATGCGCACGTGTGTGTGTGTGTGTGTGTGTGTGCTGGAGCAGGTGGGTGTCTGCCTGCGTCCATTTGTTTGTTTGTGTGTCTGGGTGTCTGTGTGTCTGCGTGCCTCTGTGCGTTTTTTTTTTTTTTGTGTGTGTGTGTGTGTGTGTGTCTGTGTCTGTGTCTGTGTCTGTGTCTGTGTCTGTGTCTGTGTCTGTGTCTGTGTCTGTGTCTGTGTCTGTGTCTGTGTCTGTGTCTGTGTCTGTGTCTGTGTATCTGAGTTTGTGCGGAGGAGGGGAGGGATGTGAGAAGGGGAAGCGATGGGGCACATTGGCTTGGCAAACATCCTTGAAAGGCCGTGCCGGGGTGCAGGCCATTTGGGACATTTGGAGAAACAGGGTGGTTCCAAATTGGGTCACTGGATAATCTCGGTGGGCAAGGGGCGGGGGGGGGGGGGCGGTTGCAAGGTTCCCTGCCAGGCAGAGACAGTTGAGCGATGAATAGCTGATGAATGGGGACAACCCCCAAAGTGAGGATCCACATGGCCATCAACAAAAGTGGTTGGTGGACAAGCCGCACACCAAAGGCCCCCCCATGTGGCTGGCTGGTTGACGAGCAAATGCGCAGTTACCCATTTTACACAAGACCAAGGGGTCGCACATGGACTGCAACTGGGACGCTTCCATGGGACCAGACCAGCTTTTTTTCGTTCGCAAGGCATGGAGCAGGAGCAGGCCGCCCTCAAAGACTTCGGGGCGGCCTTCTGCGTGTGCAAGAACAAGCCGGAGAATGACGCCCAGTGGGACTCGGAGGATACGCGGAAGCTCTCTGGGTGTCACCAAATCGGCCTCTCCTTAGGGTGCTTTGTTGGGGTGGTTTCAGGATTTGCTTGGGCTTGGTTTTGTGGGTTTAGGGTTTGCTTAGGATTGGCTTGGAGTGCATTTGGGTCTGTCTTTCTCCGAGGGATTTCTCAGGCTGGTTTTGCTGGTTTTTGTTTCCTTCAAAACGATTCAACACAGATGTACTTTCAAGAGATGTTCAGACCCCATTGGGGTCATTTGGGTTTGCTCAGTGCTCCGAGTTCCTAGAGATCAATGGCCCTCAAGGGTAGAAACCCAGAGCGGGTCGGACTAGTTGGAAGGTTTGTGCAAACCTGGCAAGCGGCGGATTCGCACTAGCATTTTTGGTTTAGAGTGTATTATATTTATGAATAGACCATTTATTGAATTAACTACTGAATCATGCAACAACGAATTATGTGGCAAGCAATGAAGCAACCACTGTAAATTGAAGATGTGTTCACCTTGTTCTTTGCAATGCCGGAGTCGACAAAAGGCGACTTTCCCATCAACTGCCAAATGGCAGCTTGTGAACCCCGACCGGTCTTGTTGAACTCAGTTGTGCCATGGTCAAGCATGCTCATGGCCCATGGACCCTGGGATGACAACACATGGTTATGCACGCATCAAGTGAACTGAATGTGAATTGGCAGAATTAGAGGATGCCCTTAAAAGCGGCTGGAAAAAAAACGTGACATCCGCATACTTTCTATGATGTTCACCAAAGCGTTCCCTTCCACACAATTAGCGAATAAACATAAAGTCCACACACACACACACCCACCCATCCACCCAACCATCCACCCACCCACCCCACCCACCCCTCCCCTCCACCAGTGTTGTTTCTTACTCCAGGACCCGGAGTGGGTTGGCAAGGCCTCCATGTCGGCGCGGCATCGGTTTTTGACCACGCGAGACCTGCGCTGGACCTTCTTCAACGCCCTGACGCTGGGCCGCTGAGCGGTTTAAAAGCTCTGGGGTGGTGGTAGTCGTGGTGGTGGTGGTGGTGGTGGTGGTGGTGGTGGTGGTGGTGGTGGTGGTGGTTTTGCTCCTTGCGCGGGTCACCCAAGGGCAGATGTGTCCAAAGGGATGTCCCAGCAAATTCGGCAAATGGGGTTTTCCTTTTGGCTTCCCTTCAAAACCTACGTACCCTCAAAGAACCATTCAAATGGCTTTTTTTTTACCTGTTGGCCCATAGGTGAGTTTCCCTTGTTTTCAATTTTTGGCCCAGATTTGTGTTCAAACCGTATCCTTGTGGTTGCCATTTTCTGGCTACCCCAAAATGGGAACCACCCTCCAAAAAAGAGCAGACATCGACATACCTGTGACAGCCGGCTTCCTTTTGTTTTACCCAGCAACTGTGACTGGTAGCGTCTGGAAGAAAGATCAAACACCGCACATTGAAAAATGTGTGCCCCAAAATCCGGCGCCCGGCTTCCAGACTGCCCTTGTCCCGACTGACATCCGCGCAGTCCTGGTGCCCGCTTCAACGCGCTTCGGCGCGCTCGAGCGCTCGAGCCAGACTCGCGTCGAGGCATGACCGAGGAGGAGGGGGAGGAGGTGCCCAGCCTGGCGGAGGCCATCCAGCTGCTGGAGGATCTCAAGGCAGCGGCCCTCACCTACGTGGCCAACGTGAGGCGGGCGGAAGCGTTCGCGGCTGCGTGGCTTCGCGGCTGCGCGGCTTCGTTCGCGGCTTCGGCTTCTGAATTGCGGGTCGCGGGGTGCAACGAATTCCCGCCGGTTCGATGGGGGGGGGGGAAAGAAGGAGTGATTTTAAGCATGGGTGGCATGAATTCAGAACAGCCCATGCTTGGCTCTTTAACCACTCTCAAACTGCACCTTCATCTACCCACACCTAGGCGCCCTTCTTGAGAATGGCCTTGAACAGTCCTGCCGTTTGTTTGGATCGCCATCTTCGGCCCGTTTGGCTTTCAGAAGCCGAGGGGCTGGTCGCCGAAGTTGGGGCTCTACTTCCACGTCTTCGGGCACAACTCGGTGAACTCGCTGCATCTCCACGTGGTGGACATGGCGCAGTGTGGGCCCACCTTCCAGAAGCTCAAGTACAAGAACTGCTCCCTGAATGCCGTGCTAAAGGCGGGCGCGGAAAAGCAATCAACACACCCGGCTCTCTCTCTCTCTCTCTCTCTCTCTCTCTCTCTCTCTCTCTCTCCCTCCCTCTCTCTCTCTCTCTCTCTCTCTCTCTCTCGCTCTCGCTCTCGAACTCGAACTCGAACTCGAACTCGAACTCGAACTCGAACTCGAACTCGAACTCGAACTCGCTCGCTCGCTCTCTCTCTCTCTCTCTGTTTCTGTGCTTCTTTGTCTTTTTGCAAGCTATGTTACAGGGCTCCTGAAAAGATACTTTTTGCCCATTTGAAACATGGCTTTTTCCACCAAAATAAAGGGACACCACCATTTACAAGGCAATGTTCAGGTGTATAATGTAAGGATCCCTGTGTTAGATACTCAGTTGTAACGAACATGTTCTGTGTGCGTGCTTTTGCCAGCTATGATGCCAGATATTTGCTTGCAAACATTTTGATCTGCTGGCAGGATTGCTTGCCTTGCAGTTTTGTCGGCTTTGCTGGGAGCCGTGGCATGACATTCATCGACCCTGGTTGAACAAGACGACGTCTTGCTGTGAGTTTTCGTTTTGTAAGAGATGGTCGGCTTTCCGCAACCGACCAGATTCATGAAGCCTTGGCTACGAGGGAAGCGCAACAAAGAGGGACGAACACTCCAATCAAAAAAAGTTGTGTTCCAAAAATCAACCTTTCCGCATCTCCCCGGGGTGTTCCGAACAACCTTTCCGCATTTCCCCGCGGAACGGCTCGATCCGTCCGCGTCAGGTGCTCCAAGAGGAGCTGGCGCTGGCGAGCGAGCCACGGAAGTCTCCCATGCTGCCGGCGGTGGCGTCGCGGGCGCAGACGGAGGCGGAGCGCTTTGGCCGGGTGCCGGAGGCTGTGGAGCTGAGTCTAAGTGGCAGACGTGTCGTGGGGCGCAGACGTGCGGGTGGGACGAGACCCAAACAAAAAGGAACGAACCCCAAACGAGGGAGGACCGTTTGTTTTTTGTTCTTCCCCCATGGCCCCAGAAAAGGGGGGTGGCTATGCGTCAAAAAAAGGGGGGCGGAGGGGCCTGCGGTCATGTTCCTTCAGGGGTCCCTCAAATCACCTGTGCCATGGCTGGAAACCAGGCAAGGGGGGGAATCCAATGGCTGTCCTTTGTTTCCCTCCAGGCAAGTTGACAAAGGGCCATACATAGGCAACAAAGCTCTTGTTGCATCTTTTTGAGAGAGCTTTGTCTCATTTGGATCGCCGTTAGCTGGAATGCACATTACTTTTGGAGCTGCATAGTCCGTGAGCCAATGACTTATTGGGGGCGGTGTGTGGCGAGGGAGATGACTGACTTTGGACCACTGAGTTTTTGTTGATTTTTTATGGCCTTTCCGGTCACTCTTTGGTGCTTGAACAACTCCCACAGTGCAGGCGCAGGGGTCTCCTCTTTTTCTGGGAACCCCCGCTTGGTTGGTTTCAAAGGGAAGCCAACAGTGAGTTCCAAACCATTGTCAGGGTCATTTTGAGACACGCCAGGTGACATTGCCAGACCTTGTCTCAACTTTTGGACGTGCTGGATTTTGGCTTGATTTTCCTTCTAGCAAATTTTCTGGCTACTTCTTCTGGAGGTTGTGGAGGGAACCGAAACCTGGCAAAGATTAAACTACGACCGACCGTTGAGGGTGCGTTTTATTGCCCCCCTGCGTGGGTTTTAAGGCGAATCCAAATGCCAGCACCACACCTTTTCCGTGGACCGAGCAAAGCAGCAAACTCTCTCCCAGGAACGTGGGCGGCGAGCTGCTTACAGTGAGCTGGGCGCTGCTGCTGCACTTGCCCGTCACCAGCGCGCTGCGCCAGGCCGCGGAGGGGAAGCCGCGCGAGGGAGAGGCGCTGGCGCCTGCCCAGGAGGGGGTGCTCGGGAGACGAATCAGTGGGAGACCAGGGGCTTAAACAGGGGAGGTGCCAAAGATGGGGAGCGAAAGTAGGAGACCAACAAAAAATGTGTCTTTTTCGTTCCATGCTTGCGTTTTTTTGTCTTTTTTTTCTTGAAACACAAACAGACAAGGCAGTTTGGTTTGGGTACAGTTGTGGAGTTCACCCGTCGAGTCCCTTTGGGTCCGGGACCTACCAGGGTCACTGGGTACTTCCCTGGCTTCAGATCACCCTTGGGACTTCACTCGTGATTGAGTTCCTTTTGGTGGGATGTTGGAGACATGTATCCCAGCTGGGCCAAAAAGAGTGAAGCGGCCCAAGGTCGCAGGTGGGAGGTGGGAGTGATTGTGGATTGGGGGGATAGTTCCCTTGCCAGGGTTGCTGGTTTGCCGGTTGTTGCCTGGAAGTAAACCTGCAAGTGGAGGCGTTCTTGGGGCGTCTTGTGATCTGCAAGAATGTAAAGCCCAGCAAGCTTGCTCGTGAACATGATAGCTTGAGAACCCGTGGGGATGCGCTCATGTTAGATCCGTTTTGGGGAGTATTTTTTTTTTTGGTCTTGTGGTGGGGGGGGGGGGTGTCAAGGTGCCTCTTAAGGTATGTGCTTCACCAGCCCGCCGGTTGGCATTCCCCAAGTGATGGGTTTGCAGAAATATCGCTTTGATACATCCGGTGGCAGTCACTTCGAATCACATTCTGAGTTGGCTGTGGGTCAAACACGTGTACCAAAATCGCAGCTTGGCAAATGGAACCAACGACTAAAACCTACGTCACCCCAGTGGCTAAATTTTGAGCCACGCCCATTTTCAGTACGAATACAACCGTGAAAACATGGCCTATCGATCCTTTAGGTCCGAGAAAAAAAATGCAGGACATTTTGCAGGACACTAAAACTAAAACCCGCGCTTTGCCCCAGTTTTTTTTTTTTTGCGCCACGATCAGGACCGCCAGGGCCGGGTCTTCCTGGACCTCCCGGGCCACTTGGCCCGGGCAGTGCTGGACCTCTGGCGTCTGCGCTGCCTGCGCGGGGGATCGGAGCCGCGGATCCCGCGCCGCGGACCGCGGAGCGCGGGGCCGGCTCGAGCCGAAGGTCCGAGAAAGGAAGGCCGAAGCCATTTTTTTTTCGGGGGGTGTCCAACGTGAAAAGAAGAGACTTTGGGAGATAATGATTTATATATATATATATATATATATATTTGGGGGCCAAACGTGAAAAGAAGAGACTTTGGGAGGTGCCACCAATTTGGGAGTTGCCCTGGCAGTCACATTTTGCCCGTTTGGTTTTGCACCATTTTCCCTTGCCAGGAACATGTACTCACTTGCATCGGATCAGTTTGGCAAATTGGAGCAAGGAATGCGCTAATTAAGCAAATGGTAGCATGAAAATGGGTTTGGAGGCACAATCTTGTCTGGGGTCGCGCTTTAAGGCTCACCAACTACAGATCAGAATCGATAATATGAGTTTTGCTTGGGAGAGAGAAGCAGAGTTAGTTGCGTGTTGCTGGTTTCAAAGCCCGTGCGTTTGGCATGTTTGGGGTGCGGCTTAGCCGCTCGGTAGCGAACGTGTGTTGGATCCGAAGCATCCGAGGTGATGGTGCAGGATTTGGTCAAAGAACGCCAGTCGTGTTTGCAAATTAAGCAAGCAGCACCGAAGTTTCTGGACAAGTAGGTGCTTTTGCCATATTGTTTTGGCGGTTTCATGTTTCCGTAGAGTGAGCCGTCAATGGGTTTTGGACTCGAGCTCAGGTGCGCCAACGAGGACCCGGCGAGTCGGGTTCATGGACAGAGTGGATTGCCTGCCATCCATTCCATTTGGTTGCCATTTTAGTCTACTTTAGTGGGGATTGGGATGTTCACTGGGGGTACCGAATTTTGACCCATGGCCATTTCATCGAAGCCAACTTTTGCCGCCCGAATATCGTCGTCGTTTGCAACAAAACAGCCAAGCAGCAAGCGAGCGAGCGAGCAAACAAGCAAGCCAGCAGAAAACGCAGGCAGGTGTACCAGAAGGAAGCAGTCCAGCCATGCGCTAAGCTAAGCCGCTAGGTAAACATGCAAGCAAACAACACTCTGGGCGAGGCAACATCCCAAACACATGCTCCATGCGTCAGAACAGGGGGACTCCCAAAATTTTGGCTGGTGTCCCTTTGAACCAAGGTGGATAGGGTGCCCTCAAAACAGCATGCACGGCTTCTCTCCACATCTGGGTTTGGTTTCCCTTTGTCACTCCTTCAACGCCTATCCAAAGACTAGAGGCAAGAAACCTGGAGGCAAGAACTACGAAGCCCGGGGTTGCCCATCATTTTGCCGACCCCTGGGAAGAAAAGGATGCAGGACCAGCGGCTGATTGCAGAGGTGCTGGGAGTGCCGGTGGAGCCGCCCGCCAGAGTCCTGGGTCCAGGCACGGGCAGATGAAGTGGGTGGCTTGCTGTTTGGCTTCCCTTGAAACCAAGCAAAGGGTTCCTTCCAAGAAACACGACCAGCCTTTCGGCTGGAGCCTTTCAGTCTTTTGGTTGGTAGTCCAAAGGAGACCGCCTTTTTTCCGGGATTCTCCTGAAGACTACAGGACCCCAGGGGCAAACCAGGATTTTCGAAAAGACCCTGCGGAATAAGCCCCTACAAGTGTGTATTTTTTAAGGGGATCCACGAACATGGCGCAACGCATCTCCTTGCCTTCTGGTTTCCCTTCAAAGCCCGCAAACAAAACTTGGTGGCTCCCAGCCATCCCCAAAAGCTTTGTAGCTTTTTGGTCTTTTACTACCTCCAAAAGGAAGACGAGCCGTCCCATTTCCGAGCAGCTCGCCAACCCCGGCAGGCGGAGTCGCGCTGCTCGCCGCCGGAGTTGGCGCCGCCTGCGCTGTGGTTCTGCGCCGGGGGGTTTGAAGCCAGGTGCCACGAAGTGCCAACGGGGGTCCCCAGTTTCTCGGACTTTTTTTCTTTTTCTTTCCGTAGCTTCCTAGCTCGGGGGATTGTCTTGGGAAGCTCGGAGAAGCAGAATGATGTGAGGAATCCCTTTTCAAAGTGAAGAGAGTCCCATTCAGGGGCAGACCAAGCCAAATCAAAGGCTCGTCAGTAGGTACCCGGGAACCCGGGCATTCCTCGAAGCGGATGTCAGGCCGCGTGGCGCGGTTTGGACCCGATATGCGTTGGGCCTGCGGGTGTTTGGAATCCGTTCTTGAATTCTCAGCGCCGGTTTAAAGCGGCTGTTTGTGTCTGAAATGATCTTTTTCTGGCTTCCAAGCTAGATAGTTGATTGCTTTTTTACTCGGCTTTGAAATTCAGAATAGCTGAACTGATGTGGCAACATCCGGTGATGGTCTGGTCTACGGGTCGTGCGGCTCTTGTATTTTATCACATCTTATATACAACTCGTGGAAACTCATGCTTCACTCGGGGCGACATCAATATTCGGGGGATTCACATCTACCAATCATTTTTGAGGTTTCTCTTTGAACTTCATAGCCAAGTGACAGATTCGGGTTCCGTCAACTTTTAAATAGCTAGGGACTCGTCGAAATCAGGTCTTGAGACGTTGACGAGCTTGGGTCCCCAGTTTCTGGACACTGGGACGCAAACTTCGCCCTCTGCAGATCAGGACGGTCCTTAAGCGGACGCTCCAAACATGCCAAACATGTATGGCCCCCAAAAATACGCCGGTTTCCGGAGGTGTGCCAACCCTAGCAAGGGTGGCAAAAGGACCACCCTGATCAAGAACAGAGAGTTCCGCCTTCTTTGGCCCTTGAGTGAGCTTATAGTGAAAGAACGGATTCCTGCCAGCGCAATCGGGCTGTGAATGTGTTGGCTGGGAAGGCCAGTTGCTTCTCCACCCAAGAGTGATGAGGCAATTGTTGCTTACTCCTTCCCAGGGGCTTGCCGTGGTCAAATCGCCGGCGCTTGGGAGTCGATGAACGTATCGAGCCTTGAAGCAGGAAGCTAGGCAAGGACCTTGCGATCTGCGTTGGCGGTTCGACCGCGCATGGGTGACGCTTCGCGCTCGGGGAGTCGCCATCTCTTCAAAAATAGCCGCGCTCGACCAGCTGGCTCGACCAGGCGACGGCGCTTTGTGGCCTTCACAGAAGGGGACTAGTTTGTTTGGGTGTGCAGGGCAGGCCCCATGGGCTTGCTGATGAGTATGTGAATACGTGCTAGTTATGAAACCTCGTTGTTGGTTTCCATTTTCAGGTGAGTATTGGTTGTTCGAAAACATTTGTACAGCAGATCTGCCAGCTTTTTGGGTGGTTAGGAGGGCATCCCGGGAACCTGTCCATCCACAGTATGTTTTGTTCGGGCCCCCTATTTCTTCAGAGACGCCAAGATCTCCGCGGCTAGGAGCGTGGGCCTTTTGATCTCATCGTGGCCGCAGATTGCATCCTGGCGCGACGCCCAGTCGGCTGGCTCTGTGTGCCTTTTGTTGGAGGAGCCCAAAAATGGCATCGGTTTCCCTTTTGGTTTCCCTTCAAACCCACAGAAAGGGTAACCCTCACAAAAGATGACTAAATATGAAGCGATACACTAAACGTAGTTCTTTTGGCGAATCCCCGGAGCTGGGCCAAGAGAAGACTTTGGATCAGAGAATGACCGGTCGAAGCATAAACATTGGATGGGCTAGCTGAGAACCCGAACATGGGTGCTTGAAGGCCAGTATGGGACATGTCCAGCCAGAAATGGTAGGGTCGGCCCTTTCAGTTCCTCATGTTGTGTTGGGTGCCTCCTTTTCTTTCCAGTTCTTTGGATCGTGTCAAACTAACCCCCCCAAAAGAACAACAACAACAACACCAAATGCTGGTAAGGGCAGTTTTGCGTTTGGTTTCCCTTTAAACCAACCTCAAGAGGCCTTCCTGCCAAAACACTGGCCCATGGCCATTCGGGGGAATGTATTCTTCCAAAAAAGCAACTTGCACTCACGTTTCCTTAGCCAGTTATTGGACACAGTGGTTGTCGATTTCCCTCAATGTGAAACCGTCCGTGCGCAAATGGCTTTTCCGCGATCTCAAGAAGGTTCGGAGCTGCAACTTGACGAAAGTTGCATATCAAAAGGCATCTCACTAGCTTGCAACTGGGACTTCCTTGGCTTTTGGTTCATGGTTATCTCATATCAATGGCATGGAATGGGGCCTGCACTTTGTTCATGCTACCCTCTAACCATGGACACTACAGATGGTCGTGTTCAAGACAGAGGTGCCGTACGCTGGCCTCTCGCTCCTGTCGTGAGTTCCTCTATCTGCTTGGCACTTGGCGAAGGCAGAAGCTTGCCGAAGCGAAGCACCGAGACATGGTCGTTGGGAAACATGTTTCAACCATTTTTGCTTGTTGTGGTTTAGTGGTGGACATCCACCCACCTAGCTGTTTTTTTTTTCTTCTTTATTTATTTTTTGCTCCCCTTCCAAAGAAACGGCTGCCATTGACCTTTCCACCCAAAAAAAAGACGGCAAGCGGCCCTCCGTGTATTGGTTGGTTCTCTCTTCCTCATAAATTTCCACGGCCATGGCGAGAAAACGACACGAGCTAGTCGTGCTTTTTTTGCTTCCCCCTTTCGCGGAATGCGACTGTGAGGCTCTACCTCCGCCAGGCACCCAGGTGAGGCTGGCAACTGGCCGGGTTGAGCAGGGTGTGTCTTGTGGGAGCCCCTTCCGGGTTCAGCTGTTAAGGGAACCCAAAAGCAAGTTCACGTGCTCAGCCTATTTTGATCAAACAAGGTCCCCCAGAACCAGTGGGTGCGCTCCATTTTTGCACCACACATCCTCGCGCTGGGAAGACCAAGTGGCTCTCCCTTCACCAGACACGTAAAACACGTCTCAGCCGTGTCCAGGCACGTGAGACATTTGGGCCTGCCCACAAGGAAAGTAGACCTGGCAGGATATGCACAACCACAGGCAAAATGCAACAGATCAACACTGAAGCTGCAAGTCAGGCCTTTATTCGACCTATTCCTCAGCACGGATGTCCTCTCTGCTAAATGGGGTGGTATGTCGAGGGTACCCGTTACACCTTTGGCCATGTACAGGGCCCCCAGCTTTGACGCTGGCACCCCCAATAGACTTTGAAAAGGGCCCATGGCTCTCACCTTGGCCACCCGAGCTGAAACCTGGGGAACCCTGAAGCTTGGAGGGTCACGGAGCACCCCCCATGAACCTGACGGCGCTTAAACCAAACCAAACCCGCGGCTTGGGTGGCGACCAAGCTATCAGGTGCCTTGGTGGCCTTGGTGCGTCCATGGAAGTCGTCGCTTTATCTGCAAAAAATCGCGCTCAGAAGGATGGATTTGTCTGGTTGGGTTCAAAGCAGAGTTGGAAGGTCGTGTTTCAGAGACCGCGCAAACGGAGGTCGGGACCCATGTGGCCGGGCCCACAGTTGCAATGGGGCTTCCCCATCTCGGCGAAGCGAGAGAGTGTGTGGGTTGTCTTTTCTCGGGTAGCCTTTTGGGGTCGGTCTAAAGGAAGAAACTGGAAGGCAAGCACTTTGGGGGCGCAATTGTTTGACACACAAGTGGGTCCCTTTGAAACATGAGTGATGCTGAGCGAATCCCCAGCAAGAATGACCAGGTCACAGGGATGGGAATCGCGCTTTGGTATCACAGGAGAGCTTACTTCCCACACTCATGCGCAGAGCTCAATTCTGCCTGCTTTCTTGCTGCGTGAGCGGCTGGTTTTGAAGCAATATGGGTGTGGCTCAAACGTAGGTACCCAAAGGCCTGTGGTGGTTCAATTTCGACCCATAGCCATGTGCTGGGGTCAAGTACCGTGAACCACGTTGTCAGTCAGGCCCCCCCCCCCTCCCCCCGTTCCGATGCCATCGCCGCCGGGCGTGGGGTCTTTGAGCGACCCATTTTCATGGATCAAAGGCAAAGCCGCCCATACCGAAGAGGCAAAGCGGGCTGCAATCCAAGGGAATCCAAGGGAAATTCGGGCAAACCAACGGAAACCAAAAGGAACCCAAAGGACACCAAAAGGAAACCAATGGAAACCAATGGAAACCAAGGGAAACCAAGGGAAACCAAGGGAAACCAAGGGGAAAGCAACGGCGGGTTATTGCGCGGCTCCCAGGCGGGCCATGGGGGTCAAAGAGTCCCCACCCGCGGAGCTGCCCGGAACCCCAGCTCATCCAACACGGAGCGGTGCCTCGTCTTCGGAGTTGGCGCCGCATTTGTTGGTTGTTTTTTTGAGGAGAGCCGAAGCCATCTTGGAGGGTTCCGGGGTTTCGATTCTTTTTGAGGGTACTTTTTTTTGGCCGTCTTCTTCTTCTTCTTTTGTTTCTTTCTTTTTTCCGGGAAACCAAAAGGAAAACCGAGGCATTTTTTTCGGGGGGAGGTCCCCTAAGAAAGGAGACACCCACGTCTTTTTGCGGCTCGGTACCCATTTTGGGGTTGGTTTAACGGGAACCCAAAAGGAAATCTGATGAAACAAGAACATGATAGTGTCTCCTGAACAGTATTCCAGAAGAAAAGCAACACAAAACATATTTCCAGCAGTGATAGATTCCCGCTAAAACCAGCGGGACAAAATGAACAATATTCACTTCAGCAACTGGGGATTGAAGCAAATGAAGGACTCGGACTCTACTAGTTCTACTAGCCTGGTAGATGATTCCCATTGGCCATAGTGGCGGACGGCTACAGTTCTGCCACCAGGCTTGTAACTACTCGATAGTTCTGCCATCAGGCTTTCCTGTAAACAGTGGTGTTGACGCTGGTCTGTGTGTGTCTTTGTGTGTTGTTTTGGGGTTGAAGCCTAGGGGACTGGCGTCTCTGTGTGGCCAGAGGGACTGGTGGGGCCCGTGGGAGCCTGCAGTTGGATTGGATTCTTGGACTCAAACTCTCCGTCTTGATTTTTCACAACTGGGGGGGGTGACATGGACGCGAACGGCGCTTGCTTTTGACCCGCTGCGGAATGTGCACCCTTTGTTCTGCATTGTGATGAGCTCACCCAGGGTAGAAAAAGCTCTGCCATGAAGGTCCTTTGCCGGGGGGTGCCTTCCCAGTTTGGAGCAGAATCACATGTGCGGTACCTTGGCGGAGACGCTCTTCCTCAACTTAAGGAAACAAAAAAAACACCCGGAAGGAAACAAAAAAAAGAACCGGAAGGAAAAACACACCCGTAGTTTTCCCCGGAAGGAAACAACAAAAAACACACCCTCGCAGCGGTGCGGTGAGCATCCTCCGATTCGCTCGGAGGCTGGAGGCCACGCGGCTCCTGAGCAGCGAAGCCACCGAGGCGGGGGGGTTTTGGGTTAGAAGTCGCCCCAGAGATGGGGGGCAGTGTGTCTCATCATGGGTTGAACCTCTTTCTGACCGTTTTTGCCGCACTGGAAGCCAAGAGGGACACCGTTGCGATTTTTAGGGGTCCTTAGGGGTCCCCTATTTTGAGACAAGCCCGAGCATGCAGACTGCGCCTTTTGGAACTCAACGTTTCTGCGGTATCAATGAGGGACTGCGAACTGGCCTCTTTGCCAACCATGGTCCAATTTGGGTGCGAATTTTATGTGGGGACCCTCTGTTGGCGACCATTACGGAGATTTTTGTCCACCGACCATTGTGGAGCACATTCCTTATAGAATTCATTGCCAAGCCTCTAGACGTGCTCACAGCAATTGGTTGACATGAACAACTAGCCGGAGCTTGTTGATCACTCAGGTACTATTGAGGCAGATTCAGACATGCATACTTGTGTTTGCTTTTGTTTGTAAAAAAACAGAAATGGGGCTGTGGCTTCCTTTTGGATGTCCTAAACCAACAGCCCACCCTTTTGCCCTTTCAACCTTTTGCCCTTTCAACCTCTTGGTGAACGTCCTGCAGGGATCGTGGTCTGCAGACTCTTTGCTATCCTTGAATTGAGCCACAATCATGGGATGTCGCAGCCATAAATGGGTGCAGCCACCCTATTGATTGTTTACCATAAGTTTTGGACAGACCATTTTAAAACCAGGTTTTGATTGTGGCTGAACTGAGAGCCGTCCGAAAGCAGATCTCCACGTATGCCGCAGAGCAAAGATGGTTGACGGGAAGCCTCACAAGTCGACAGATGGTCGTACCGTTGTTGCTGTGAGGTAGGCATGAAAGACGGTGCAGGGCTCTTTTCCGGCAAGCGGCAATCTTTTCCATTTGTTGGCGAAGGCGTCCGCTTTGTAGTGGTTTTGCGCAGCCCAAAGAGGGTCCCGACATTCATTGCTGATAATCTGGGAACAAGGTATGTGCAGCCCAGAATCCCCCAATCTCTGCGCTGCGTTCCTGACCCTGTGCCGCTAAGAAAACATGATGTCCACAGCTCACTTCATGTTATGTCCATGGCAGTGCTTTGCCAATCGAGCAGTGCAGGGTCCGTGTGGCGCATTTTTGTTGCCGCAGCTTTTGCACACTCCAGAGATGGACAGCAACATGCCTAGAGCCAGCAGCTTTGAACATGGCCTCATGTACGCGCACGGGGAGCGGGGACCGGCCTCCCTTTTTGTAGAGATCCCACAGAATTCGGACGCGGAGCGGGGACCCGGGAGCTGCAATGGAGCCAACAAAAGAGAGAAACACACAGATCTGCGCTGGTGGCCCAATTTGAACAGGGGCTCCATGCACCTGCGCCGCCATGCCTGGTGGCCCAGTGGGAATTTGAGGAGCTGTGTGCTTGGTTCTGCAGTTTTCTGTCGGTGTTCTGTGAGTTTTCTGTTGTTTTTTGTCGGTCTCTGTCGGCTTTCGCCCAGGATCGTCTCCGGGGGAGCAGGGGGCAGGGTCTCTGCATGTTGTCCCCACAGAACGCGATGGTTGCGTCGGTTCGCATTGCCGAGGCAAGGTTGGGCCGAAGGCTGACACCTCGGCAGGCGGGGTGGTCTCGGACCCCGTTTTCCCAGCTCCCAGCCGCCTTTTTTGGACCTGCCGCTCGGCTTTTGGTTTGTGGGGCCGGGCACATGACCCCTGCTTCTCCTGTGGGGGTCTTTGATTTTGTTTTTTTTTTGGAAGGATCATCGCAGCTGACCCTTGGTTACAAAGCAGTTCCAGCTTGAATTGGGTTGCTTTCGAGGAAAGTGACCCCTGCTGACCCGTGAAAAAATGAAACCTGAGACCTGGATGCCCCACAGGTGGTACGTGAATGAGCCAAAGACCGTGGCTGCTGATCAGATGGGGAACAAAAACATGCACGTACTTGGACATGGCAGCCTGGCAAAGACGAGTCACAAACTGTGGGATGAATAGTTTGGAGTTCTGTTTTCTTCTTTCTTTCTTTTTTTTGCTGGGTCCCTGTGTTCTACTTGCAGCGTACAAAGTGCCCTCCATCCTGCTTGAACTCGGCAGTTCGCCAGGCGCCGGTGCTAGGCCGGCTGGAGCTTTTGGGGCGGATGGCACTGGGGATTTTTGTGCGGGGTTGCTCGTAGGAATCTGAGGGGTCTGAGCTCGACTGACGCAAACACTATGTGTGTTGTCTTTCTCACAGATGGGCGGGTTTCATGATTCATGTTGGCTTTTTCTGTAACTACCATCCAGCAGGAGGATCTATGACAGAAAGCCAAGAGGCCAACAGTTTCGGGTCTACTCTGAGAAGCTGACACTGGACACGCCAATTTTCGTGTTTGACATGGGGTAACTTTTTGGTAACTCCTTCCTCGCCATGTCTGGAGCCAAACAGGCAAGAAGAACGAGGAAGACCTTCCTTCGAGCCATGAAGGCCGTCAGAAGGATTCTCAGGGATGTTCCTGACAAAGGAACTTTTTCTCAACAAACGGCCGCCTGTCGTTCTTTCAAAATCCCAAGAAGGCTGCAGGCTGGGATCTCTTCCGGTCAGATGTCAACAACGAGCCTGGGGGCAAAAAATCGGTTCCTTGCCTGGGGATTCTTTTGAAATCTCACGAAGGATCATCAAGGATCATCGTTTTTTTGCAGGCCCCCCTGTTTAGAAGGGGTTGTCAACACAAACCGATATCTCAGGTAGCCCTTAGTTGGGAGTCACCAATCAGAGGGAAGCTGAACCTGTACCCATTCGCCAAAATGTGCCTCGAATCCACCATGAAGGGTCGAGGAACCTGCTTGGCCGAATCGATTCGCAGGCTTTCGCTTCAAGGCGAGCTGCTTGGAGGACGGGGTCGGGCCGGGCGAATTGAAACGGCGAGCGAGGGGAAGGGTTTCAGGGGAGGGTGTGTGTGCCCGAAGGCGGAAGGGTTGGGGGGTTCGTCTCCAAAAAAGTTCCCCCCTCCAAAAAAAGAAACCAAGAAGAGAAGAATCAAAGAATCACTGGAGGTCTGTGGCACATGTCGGGCATGAAGCCCGATGCTTGCAGCGTTGGCGCCTGGTTTCGCTTCGCATGGAGCCCCGAGGATGAAGAAAGGAAGAGGAGCCGGCCCTTCCCCCGCACGACCTACGAGGCGCCGGTGCCGATGGGTTCTGGGTGAATAACGACCTCACACGACCTCGCCCCCAAATGGTGGAGTAGCCCCCCATCCACCTTATTTCAGGTTGGTGAAGTAGTATAGTTCAGCTAGATGGGTTTGTCTCAAATTTTGAATGTGGATTTACTGAAGCAAATTGCATCCAGCCCGTGCTTGAGTGTCTGTACCATTGGGGAACACCTGAGAACAGTTTGGAAGTATTGCACGGTTTCTGTTGGGGAGGCGGTTTTCTTTTTGTTCCCCTTGAAAACCACCCCCCTACGAAGGGCAGCCTCAACCAAAAGCACCCAACTATGGGCCCTGTTTGGCTCTGGTGTCCTTTTACAAATCACAACAGGCCACCCTCGCAAAAGCAGCGCAGGCACATGTGTTTGTCTCAAATGGAAACACGCGCGCACACACACACACATTTTATAGCGGCTTTTTGTCGTGTTTCCTTTGTATCATATCATGACCGGCCCTTTCTTTCTGGTACCCATGACCTCAACCAAACATATCAAGCGCATTCGGGTCTCAAGTGCTTGACTGGGGCGACCTAACTAGATTACACATCCTAGGGGTGCAAAGCTTTTCAAATTTCAACAATGTGTATATATTTTCCCCCGAGTGTTCATTTTCAATCCCTGATCCGAACGGTGACTTCCAGCTCGTTGGAAAGATGCTATAGATATGTCCTGGCCCGGCTGCTCGCTGCAGCTGGGATGCAGCACTCTTTCACTCTCTCCCCGCAAACCAACCACCAAACAACCAACCCAACCAAACCAGCCAAACCAGCCAAACCCGCCAAACCCGCCAAACCCGCCAAACCAATGCAACACACCAAGCCCACCAACCTCGTCCAACCAAGCAAAGCCAACCAGCCAAAGCCAACCAGCTTCCATTCTTTTTGGGTCAGCACCCACCAGCGCACCAAGCGCCTGGACCCGCAGACGCGCGGACCCATCGCTGTCAGGGCCAGGCGGAGGAAGACGTGTCTTCTTGGCTGCAGAAGATGAACACCTGCCGCGCCCCCAAGCATTCGCTTCTTGAAGTCGTCTGACCGCTTCATTTGGCGATTTGTGGGGATAGATGGACAGGGTGTCCTTTGACTGTGTGTATTGACTATCCTGCCTAGCAGGATTGGGTGACAAGTGTGTATGCGTGTGTGGTTCTTTGTGTTCTTGTTTCTGTTTAGTTTGTTTTTCCGTCTTCCTTATTTTTGTTATTTTTTTTGCGGAGGGAGCTCACCATTTTGGGGAGCTGAGCTCGATTCGAAGCTCCAAAGGGAGCCCAGAAATAGGATTCTCTTAAATGGAAACTACCCAAACCAGCCAAAAACATCCAAAACCCAAGGCTAACCTGTGGCTTCTCTTCAAAGTCTGTCCAGCTGGGGCCCAGCAACTTATGAGGACCGCCCGCTTTCTGATGTTGGGAGACCCCCCATGAGAGCAGCGCCATGAGTCCAGCTCGTTTGACTCGGCCCAGCAGGTTTTTGACAAAAACGGCAAGGTTGCAAGACGGCAACTGCTCGGAGAGCCGACCTGCGGTCTACAAGATGATTGTATATTTCGTGTCAAACAAATATGACACAGAGTCTGAGCACGCACGTCCGGAAAAGCGCGCAAGCGCGCGCACGCACGCACGCACGCACGCACGCACGCACGCACGCACGCACGCACGCACGCACGCACGCACGCACGCACGCACGCACGCACGCACGCACGCACGCACGCACGCACGCACGCACGCACGCACGCACGCACGCACGCACGCACGCACGCACGCACGCACGCACGCACGCACGCACGCACGCACGCACGCACGCACGCACGCACGCACGCACGCACGCACGCACGCACGCACGCACGCACGCACGCACGCACGCACGCACGCACGCACGCACGCACGCACGCACGCACGCACGCACGCACGCACGCACGCACGCACGCACGCACGCACGCACGCACGCACGCACGCACGCACGCACGCACGCACGCACGCACGCACGCACGCACGCACGCACGCACGCACGCACGCACGCACGCACGCACGCACGCACGCACGCACGCACGCACGCACGCACGCACGCACGCACGCACGCACGCACGCACGCACGCACGCACGCACGCACGCACGCACGCACGCACGCACGCACGCACGCACGCACGCACGCACGCACGCACGCACGCACGCACGCACGCACGCACGCACGCACGCACGCACGCACGCACGCACGCACGCACGCACGCACGCACGCACGCACGCACGCACGCACGCACGCACGCACGCACGCACGCACGCACGCACGCACGCACGCACGCACGCACGCACGCACGCACGCGCACGCACGCACGCACGCACGCACGCACACGCACACGCACGCACACGCACGCACACACACACACACACGCACACACACACACACGCACACACACACACACACACACACACACACACACACACACACACACACACACACACACACACACACACACACACACACACACACACACACACACACACACACACACACACACACACACACACACACACACACACACACACACACACACACACACACACACACACACACACACACACACACACACACACACACACACACACACACACACACACACACACACACACACACACACACACACACACACACACACACACACACACACACACACACACACACACACACACACACACACACACACACACACACACACACACACACACACACACACACACACACACACACACACACACACACACACACACACACAACAGCATCAGGGAACGCACATGCTAGAAGTTCAAGCTACATCTATCTGTACAACCCTGGTATGGCAGCAAAGAACTGGATTTGTTGCAGCCCCCAACTAAAAATGAATAGAACCAACAAATCTGAACACCTGCCAACAACTGCGAAGCTATGTAAACACAATGGCCATGAAAAGCGCAGAAGATGATACGTGGGAATGAGGCTCCGGGGGGGGGTTCCTTGCTGGGGCACTTGGAAAGAGAAACCAATGGAGGGGGTCCCCATCTTTAAGACCCACCCACTTGTCCACTTGTCGAACGCCCTTTGGGCGCGTAAAGGGGACCCTGGCATTTGCTGGGTTGCTTGAGCGTTGCCAAGCAGAAGGCTTCGAGGGTTTAGACTCAACCCCCACATGGCTTGAAGGGGAACCGCCCGTGAGTACAGTAGCATGCCAAGTTAACCCTGAAGCTGACAAGCATTTCTAGCTCGAGGCGTGTGAGGCGTGGGCTCTCCTATGCTTACCTCTCCGATTTGGTGGCTTGTCAAAAAATAGAGACCATTTTTTGGGACCCGTCTTTTTTTCAGGCGGCCCACATAAACCATAGCCCGAAAAGCAGGGGGCAACCCCATGTTGTTGTTTTTTGACCCACCGCAAGTGCCGGTACTGCAGGGCCTCCGCAAAGAAAAAGACCCTGGTGCCTAAAAAGACCCCTGTGCAACAGTCCCTGTGGTTTCCTTTTTTCGGGCCCAAAGCCTGGGTTCACTCCATTCTCCATTTCACATTCCCTGCTTCTCGCAGCAAGGAAAAGGGGGCGACCCCAAATTTCTGCCACCCCCGGGGCAACCCCATTTCTGGTTCTTTTTGGGACCCCTTTTTTTTAAGGCGGGCCCAGATGGCCCAAAAGCAGGCAGCAGCTTTCCAGTTTTGACCCCTCCCCCCGTCCCAATTTGTGTCGTGGCCTTGAGGCGTGGGCGCCTTCCTGCGGAGCACTTTTGTGAAGGGCCGGCCGGCGGAGGCCAGAGGGCCAGAGGGCGGGTTGGTCGGGTCGGTGGTCTGGGGTGGGGTTTTCTGTTCCTGGTGGTCGGATTGGTTTCAGGGGTCCTACTGTGGATGGACGAAATCCATTTTGCACCACCCAAAAAACAATGGACCGATGATTCCCTGTAAGTACTGGTTTCCCATGGATTCAAACTGGTGCAGGATTTCGTCCCTCCACAGTAGGGTTCCCGTAGGGCATCATCCAAGAGGTGGTTGTGATCACAGGAAGTGCTGGTTGGCTTCGGGGTTCCTAGGGCCCGAAAGGGTATCCAAGAGCCACCTGCTTTGTTCCAATGTGGATCCTCTCCAACAGCTGGCAAACATCTTGCGGTGGATCGAGAAAAGCCGCTTCGCACCAGAGGGATTCTTCCAGCAGAGTTTCACCCGTCCAGTGCAGACATCTTGTCCGTCTAGGGTTAAGCGCATCACTTTCAGAAAATTTGTGGAGACTCCCCTGGAAAGCGCAACAAAGTGCTCGTCGCCCAGACTCAGTCCGGCCTCAAGCCTCAAGCCTTAGGCCCAGATTCCTTCCGCCACCTCGTTAGGAGCTGGCCAGCAAGTACGACATTGGGGAAGAGCTAGGCGGGGATAAATGTTGCACTGCATCCTTAGCGATGTGACCGACCTGCCCCTGGACCATCCAGTGCCGATGAGAGTTCATATGGACCACCCGTTGAAATTTATCATCAACCGCAGGAGCGGTTGACAAAGGAGGTTCCCATACAAATTCGTTCCCTCATTTGTATGAACCGGTGACTGAACCCCACGACCCCAAGAAGTTGTCCCTCAACTACTTTGGGGTAGTCAAGCGAGACCTTGGCCCTGTCGTCAGAGACGTTGGGCAACTGGCCGTTCATGGCAGCATGGGAAGAACAGTAGTTGGAGGGTGCTGGCACTGAAGCTGTGAACACCTGGCCGGGTTTTCAGTTTCGACGTTTAAGAGTGATCAAAGTTATGCCGAGCCGGTCGAATTACCGAATCCTTGACGCCCTGCGCCAGAAGGCCCCTCTCCAGAGCGAGACCTGGGAGTTCTTTGGGATTTGGAGCCACACAAGCTGTGGGAGCGAACATCTTGGGGTTTTGTTCAAACTTGAAGCCCACCTTTCTTGAAACCCTCGGCGAAAATCTTGGTGTCCTTGGATTCGTTCGGTTAGAATTTGATTAGAATTTGATTAGACATTTAGGTTCGCAAGGGTTCCACTTGCTTAGAAGGGGTTTGAGGGGCCCTGGACTTTTTCTCAAAAGGCCAACCATGCTCAGCGGTGGCCAGCCTCTGGCCTCTCTCAGGCTCCGGCGCCACGGCCACGGTCTTCCGGGCGCGGGGCTTGGGTGTTTGATGCGGCGTTCTGGGGTTTCGGTCGCCGGTTTGGTGGGTCCTTTTGGGACAACCGGACCCCCCTCTTTGTTGGTTTTGAAGGTATAAGCTAAGAGGGCAGCCGTCCTTTTTGTTTCTTCTTCTTCCGCTGCCCGATGTTGAGACGAACCCATGAACCTTCTCAAAGATGGCAAGTTGACATCAACTCCCAAAGTTTTTTTGTTTTACAACTCAGAACCACCAAGGGTCCAGCCCAGGTTCAAGCTGATTTGGCCTAGCGCAACGGTTAGCCCCGGCCGCGGGGCTGTCGGCTGCCTTCTTGTCGTTGCCTCCGGCGGCCGGAGGCGCGGAACAAGCGCACCGGGCAGTACGTGGCGCTGAAGGCGATGTGCAAGCGGGCATCCCCGGATCCGCTTGTCGGGAACTGGAACGACTCAGGGAAGTGATAGCTGACCGAGGTGAAAAGACGCGGTCCGTGAAAGACCATTCTTTGGGAAAGATGTCTGGTTGGTTATATGAACAGGTGCAGGTGTTCTTCGAGGATGAGATGCATTTGTTGTGTCTTTTCTCGGGGATTTCTTGGTCGCCGCTGAGTCGTTGCGACTCAGAAAAATGGAGTGTGGGACTGGATTTGCGATCACACTCACTGGCCAAGTAGCTTCTCGGGTTCGGTGAACCCCCCCCCCGAAACGAGCGAGCCGAACACTTGTTCATGGTTGAAGACGTAGCGGCGGGGCAAGCACCGCTCCCGCTATTTGCTCCGCTGGCCAAAGGGCGAGACGCGACCTGTCACGAAAGCTGAGGTTACCCCCGCATGCCAACCCAGCCGTGAAAAACGGGGGCTGGGGGGAGGGGGGGGTGGGCTGGCCGGGACCTGAGGGATCGCATCCAAGACGAGCAGATGCTGCGCAACGAGATCAGCATCCACAAGGCGCCCCTTTTCCGCCCGTTCGGAGGCCGCGAGGAGCAGCGTGGCGGGGATTCTGCGTTTTGCTTTTTGTGGTTCGTTTCAAGGATTCGCTCCATGCGGCCAGAAGCAAACGTAACTATGTTTTTGCGTTTTTGCCGGGCGAAGGCTGAGGTTGCTGGGTGATTTTGGACACATCTTGAGACAAATTTGTGGGCAATGGCCCAGAGTCACCGTTGGCTCTTTGTTGAAGTGTACTTGGAGGTTGCGACCATATTGATTATCAACATGTTCTGGAGTTCTGAAGGCTCGGGGGATTCAACTCTGAGTATTTCTCGCGTGTCCATCTTTCAACCATTTGGGTGTTTGTTTTGAGGGTGCCTCTTGTTTGGTGGTTTTAAGGGGATTCCCAAAGGACAACCAGTTGGGATCTCCAAAAAAAAAAGACACGCCCATCTCGCTTTCGTCCAACCTCCCTGGGACGGTGGCCCCAGTGGGGGACTCGAGGCCACGGACCACCCCAACATCCTGAGACTGCTAGAGATCTTCGAGGATGCGGCGAGCTCAGCGTTTTTTTTCGGCGAAGGCTGCGATTTTTCAGCGTCCCTCTATCTGGTGGTTTGGAGCCCGGCGGGCAGGGGTGGTTTCCCATTTACCCTCTGCCAAGCCACCAACTAAGGGTTACCTGATTGTTTTTCACCTGCTTATGTTGGCAGGAGTGCAAAAGCGGAAGAAAACCTAGTTTAGGGGCCCTCCCAAGTTGTTTAATGTAACATGCACACTCTGCATTATTGTTTTCTTTAGGTTCCCTTTGGTTTCCTGTTTGGTTTCCTGTTTGGTTTCCCGTTTGGTTTCCTGTTTGGTTTCCCGTTTGGTTTCCTGTTTGGTTTCCTGTTTGGTTTCCTGTTTGGTTTCCTGTTTGGTTTCCTGTTTGGTTTCCTGTTTGGTTTCCTGTTTGGTTTCCCTGTAAACCTGCGCAAAGGAGCATGTTGTCTTGGTTTTGAACAGAGCTTTGAAATGCGGAAGAGGGATGAACCTGAACAGATGGCTGCGATCTTTGGACTATCATAGGGCTGTGAAAGTGGCTTCTATGCTTCCGTCGTCTAGTTGTTGGGTTCACTCACAATAAACCCCGAGAAGGGTTCCGGACCCCCTTTGCCAGGCATGGCATTTGAGCACCCCGCTTCAAATCTAGCAGATTTGACCCCATGGTCCAGCGGCTTTTCGCATGAGCCAGGCGACCGCCATCAGAACAGGGTCTTTTTCGGGCGCGGAAACTTTTTCTGAACGAAGTCCAGACGCGAACATCCGGCACGGAAACCATGCGATCTGGAGCCAAATCCGGCTAGCGGGATCCATGGGGCAGCCATGAGTGGTAGGCGAAGGCGGGCTGCCCTCCAAGGCGTGATGCAAAAGCCAGATGCGGAACTGCTTTTGAGGGGTGCAACTTCTTGAAAGGTGCTTTCGAATCAGTTCCGTGGATACAATTCCTTCTAGAAAGTTGAGGCTTTCGAATCAGTCCCGCGGATACCATTTTACGATGAACTTTCAGGTTTATGTGCTTTTCATTGAAACGAGAGACATGGAATCTGAATCATCTGAAGGTTTTCTCGACGGGCCATGGGGCTTACACACAGGCACAAGAAAGCGAACCACCCGGCAATGGCTCAAGTCACAGCCCGCGTCGAGACAAAGCGGTGTGGTGGTTGTCTTTGTCTTGCTGAAAGCGTCTGCTGTGCGTCGCTTGCCTTGGCCTAAAATGGTCAAAATGGCCACCGCGATGGCGGTTTTCGCTCTCGTGCTATGGCGCAATCGCGCGGATTCGCCTGGCCCGACCTGTGATGCGGACGTCGGGTCGCTGCTCCAGCACACACAGCACGCAAAGCAGGCATCTTTTTTTTTTTTCTGGGGCCGGGGCTGTCAGCCGGGGCGGTCAGCAAAATCAGGGACAATGAGCAAATCACTGACAGGTCGGCGGTTGACATCAATCCAAATTTCAAGCAAATCACCAAGGTTTAAGCACCAAGGTGTAAGCAAATCATCAAGGTTTAGGAGAGTAGGGCATTCTTTTCAAGCCATGTTTGCTCATGTGAAGTTCGAATGATACAACTATACAGGGATTGATACAATCGCTGCTTTTTCTCGGTGCCAGGCAAAAATGTGGTTCCTGTGCGAGGTGATGTTCTTTTGATGTGACTTCTATGCGGTCAACTGTTGATCTTGACATCCACACGCAAAGCGAGAGAATGGGTAATGAGAAGCTCATTCATTTTCTCCTTCATTGAAGTGCCACAGCAACGTAAGCATGGTGGGAAGCGAGACTTAGCGCTTTGAGAAATTGACTGAAACGGGCCGGACTCATCAAACGATTTCAAGTCAAGCCGCGCTGAAACTGACAAACTGCTCAAGGGATAAAGACAAGGCACACCCCTTTTTTCTTCAACCAAGATGTGATGCTCTGACATTTGCCATTTAGAACAACGCTGTATGCATACCACCAAACACCTCCAGAGCATCAAACGAAAGACCCACCCAACACCCCAGGACATGAAAACAAACAAAATTTCCTCTTCCAAGTAACACCAACAATTAATACGGCAACGAACACCCAAATGTCTAACCTCTAACAAAGCGACTGAACACTTCCCCAAAACGAATGAGGTGGTTGATAGGTTTGAGATGAACATGAGAACGAGAACCGGCAACCTTCAACAGGCCACCCCAAAAAAGCTAGAACCCCCTGAGTTCCACATGGTTCCCCGGCAGGAAAGGCTTTGGACGGAAGCCGCCTTGCTTGACGCAGGCGCCGAGGATGTTCGGGGCCGTCTCTCGAGTTCTCAGGTTGCTTGGGCTAGGCGTGTCAAAGGGAGCCCGGCCCACTCACCCAGGCTCCTTTCCCATCCAGGGGGAAGGACGGAGAGGGTGCCATCTCTTTCCCAGAAGGAGCAGCGCCACATTCAGTTTGTTTGATGAGCTACTTGCTTGGCCCTTTTTGCTTTTGTGACATTGTCAGTTGCACTACGGCAGTAATGAATCCCTAAAATGGACCAGTCACGCTTCATGTTAAGCAGAGGGGTCACGACGGTCTTGGGGTTCACGAGAACCAGAGATAGATCTACCCAAAGCTGTTTGTTGGGCGCGACGGTCTGCGGTGCTGAGAAACCCCGAGCTACGGCTCTGTTTTACGGGCATGTTCTGATGACCCTTTGCTTCTTACGTTTGGTCCCCAAGTTGTGTTTCACCATGAGGGCGCTCACAAACACACATTTACTCCATCTCAGAGCGATTGTGGACAGTGCAAATCTGGACCGCTGTCAACGTATCATCGTACCATGGGCTCACCACTACGTATAGGCTTTATTGGCTTCTTGGCTCCATGCCTCCGTGCAGGCAAATGGGTTTCGCCGATATCTCTCGACTGAAAGCTCACGCTCTGTGCTGGCTATCCCTTTATATACCTGAAGCGAGTGCGAGTGCGAGCTCTGCCACAGTCAGGACGAGAAGTTCGAGTAAGGAGCTTGCAACAGCAGGTCGCGGCACAGGGTCGCAAAAGAAGAGATGGTGGCGGGACTTCGAAAACAGCTGGAAGAGGGATCCTGCTGGACACCAGCCGGTTTCACGTGAAAAGCCAACGGCAAGTATGCCCTGATGCTGTCTCTGTGGTAGGCCTTGAAGGCGCCACAGGCGTGGTCGCTCCAGCAAGCAAGGAGACTGCAAAGGACCAGGATGCCAAAGAAGAGCTGCCAAGGCAACTTTTCAGAAGGCTGCGCTAAATCTCAGCTTGGCAAGGCCGACTATCCGCTTGAGGTGAGCGACATCACCGCAGGCGCGGCAAAGCTGCAGCTCTTGCGCATGCGGAAGCTCAAGCGTCTGTGATTACACTGAGGTGTGGCGCGTTGACGCAGACAGTGACTGGGTGACTGACAAGGTGAGAAGGAGAGGCGCAAGCTAGTGCTTCGGAAAGCGGCTGGAGACACGTTGCGCCATGCTCCCAAAAGGCCAGCGTAGCTATTTGACAAGGCTGGCAGCAAGCCATGCGTTTGCAAGCCGCGAACGCCACGCCTGGTGGGGACAGGCCAGTTTTTCAGGAGACGCAGGACTTGTCGTCTCCAGGCAAGACGCCAGAAGTATCGCTGGGCTGCCTATGGTAACCTTTGCAGAAACTGAAGAGTCAGAGTCACCGGTCCCTGTGTGTGGCAATCTGGATTGGCCAGACATCACGCGGCCCGTCACGGGCCATGGAGTGGAGGAGTGTTAGGATGTGTTGAGCACTTTTGTGCTTCGGCAATAGGGAGTTAGTGCTGCCGTTGAAAACCATTTCTTGCCCAAAATGGGCCAACGAGGGAGGTGAGTGAGGGTGCCCGAGAATCGATAACTGCTTAATGGAAAGATATCTTTTTACATTCTGACAATGTTCAGCTATGGGCGTCTTGGGGGTCATTTCCAATACTCCATTCTGTGGCCCTGCGGCAGCAAATTTTCTGCTCCGCACCCAGTGTATGTTTCAGATGTCTTAGCCCCTTTCCTTGCCTTCTTCCGGCAGGCAACTGCAGCGTCGAGCCGTGGGATTGCGAGGAGGGCTCAGATACTTCCATTGCAGCGCTGCAGATGATCAATCTCTTCGGCAACAACAACTGCTCCCGTTCAGAGATCCGGCGCCTGGACCTTGCCACGGGGATCTACAGCCCAGTTTCTCGGACATATTCTCCCCCTAACAAAACGTGTTGACCAAGCCTGTCCCTGGCCTCAGTGTCTTCCCGTAGCGTCAGGGGCTGCAAAAGTCAAAAGCGAAGAAGCCCACAGTTTCAGCGGCCTTCTTCAAATGTTTTTGGCGTGGTGGTCCGGGTTAAACCAAAAATTACAAACTGCAATTCGGCTCACATTGCAGGTCTGCAAGTTCCCCGCGGGCTACTGCTTCAACGCCTGCGGCATCAATCCCACAGACTCCAAGATCTACTGCGACTCCTGGGGCCCTGCCTTGGGCACCAACTCGAGGAGTGGGGCCCAATCGCCGCTCGAAACACACCACGTTCCCGCAGCTTAAGGGGGGGTGTTTCTCGTTTGTTCTGCGCTTGATTCACAGCTCCACTCCTGCAGCAATCTCGCCTGGTACCTTTTGCACTCTCTAGCTCATAGAGATAAAAGTGGTACAGTTTACATTGTCCCTATTGGAACCAAACATTTCCATTTGGCCATTTACCTCTTCAATACATATGTACCTTCTGAGTTGGAGTAGATCCGCACCAGCACCTACGAGGTGTATTCTGGAACCACTTGGGACCCCCCATTGACAAGCTCGAGTGAAGAGGACTTCTATGGAGCCGAACCACCCGCAGCGGCTTTCCTTGGAAGCCGTCGTAATGGTGAAGAGACCATCAATCTTTCGATGAATGCAAAATTGGCTTCATCGCATGATGGCCGTGCTAGTTGGTTTTGGTATGAAGATCTGGCATGGGATTGGACCCGCGCGACAAGGTCGGCTTGTCGCGGACGCAGCGATATTGCGTGAAAGTGGAGTATATTCTCAACTGGCGCACAGAATGTATAAATTTTGC